AAACCCACAGCTAACATCATACTCAATGAGGAAAAGCTAAAACCAGTCTCCTTAAGATAAGGAACAAGACAAGGCTGTCTACTTTCTCCACTTTTATTCAACATAGTTCTGGAAGTGCTAGCCGCAGCAGTCAGACAAGAAAAAGAAGTAAAAGGCATCCAAATCGGTAAGGAGGAGGTAAAATTGTCATTATATGCAGATGACATGATACTATATAGAGAGAACCCCAAAGACTCCATCAAAAAACTATTGGAACTGATAGATGAATTCAATAAAGTAGCAGGATACAAAATCAATATTCAGAAATCAGTTGCATTTGTATATATCAATAATAAACTATTGGAAGGAGAAATTAAGAACACAGTCCCATTTATAATTGCTTCAAGAACTATAAAATACTTAGGAATAAATTTAACCAAAAAAGTAAAAGACCTGTACTCAGAAAATTATAAGACACTGAAGAAAGAAATAAAAGAAGATTCAAATAAATGGAAACAACTACCATGCTCATGGATAGGAAGAATTAATATAGTTAAAATGTCCATACTGCCTAAAGCAATATATAGATTCAATGCAATTCCTACCAAACTACCAAGGACAGTTTTCACAGAAATACAAAATATAATCCTAAAATTTATATGGAACCATAAAAGACCCCGAATAGCCACAGCAATCCTGAGAAATCAGGACAAAGTCAGGGGTATCATGCTACCAGATATCAAAACATACTACAAGGCCACAGTAATCAAAACAGTAGGGTACTGGCATAAAAACCAGAAATAAATCCATGCACGTATGGACAGCTAATCTATGACAATGGAAACAAGAATTTACACTGGGGTAAAGATAGCCTATTTAATAAATGGTGCTGGGAAAATTGGACTGACACATGCAAAAAAATTAAAGTGGACCACCTCCTTACACCATATACAAGAACAAATTCAAAATGGATTAATGACTTAAATGTAAGACCTGAAACCGTAAAACTCCTAGAAGAACATATAGGGAGTAAATTTGCAGACCTTTACCCTGAACAATATTTCTACTGATACATCCTGTGGGCAAGGGAAGTAAAAGAAAAACTGAAGATATGGGATTACATCAAACTTAAAAGTGTTTTCACAGCAAAGGAAACCATCAATAAAACAAAAAGGCAGCCTACTGAATGGGAGAAGATATTTGTCAATGATATATCTGATAAGGGATTAACATCCAAAATATATAAAACACTCATGCAACTCAACAGCAAAAAAACAAACAACCCAATTAAATGGGCAGAGGATATGAAGAAACATTTCTCTATAGAGGACATACAGATGGCCAACAGGCATATGAAAAAAATGTTCAACCTCACTGATCATTAGGGAAATGCAAATAAAAACCACGAGATACCACCTTACCCCAGTCAGAATGGCTATCATCAATACATCAACAAACAACAATTGCTGGTGAGGTTGTGGGGAAAAGGGAACCCTGGTACACTGTTGGTGGGATTGCAGATTGGTGCAGCCATTATGGAAATCAGTATGGAGGTATCTCAAAAAACTGGAAATGGAACTACCTTATGACCCAGCAATTCCACTCCTAGGTATTTATCCTGAAAAACCCAAGACACTAATTCAAAAAAATATATGCAATCCTATGTTCACTGCAGTGCTATTTACAATAACCAAGACCTGGAAACAATCGAAATGCCCATTGGTAGATGACTGGATTAAGAAACTGTGGTACATTTACACAATGGGGTATTACTCAGCTATAAAGAAGAAGGAAATCTTAACCATTTGTAACAATATGGATGGACCTAGAGAACATTATGCTAAGTGAAATAAGTCAGAGAAAGACAAATACCATATGATCACACTTATATGAGGAATCTAAAGAACTGAATAAATGAGAAATATAAACAGAAATAGTCTCAGAGACACAGAGGAAAAACTGATAATTGCTAGATGGGACGGGGGTCGGGATGAGGGAGAAGGGGAAGGGACGAGACAGTATTCGTAACTACAATATGGCCTCAGGGATAGAAAAGACAGTCTAGGAAATATAATCAATAATGTTGTAAATATTTTTTAGGGGGCCAGATGGACTCATGTCTTATTAGGGAGACCACTTCATGGACGGTGTAGAGGCCTGACCACTGCACTGTACATCTGAAGCTGCTGTTGAATAATATTATATGTCAACTGTAATTTAATACATATATAGTCATGGGATGTGGAGTATAGTGTGGGAATGGAGTCAATGGAATTGTAATGGATATGTATGATATGGGGGGTTGTCACTTTGTGAGGTTCGGTGAAAAGGATAACTATTGCATTGTTTTGTACACCTGAAACTAATAATAATAATAATTTAAAAAGTGTCCTTGGAATAAGGACAACCACAAATGCTTGAGGCAGACGTTATAACCTTAACTCCTTTTACTCTGATCCTTTATCAGGAGGAACAAAGGTCAAGCTAGAACACGAATAACAATGCTAAGACAAAGCTGGTAGTGAGATAGTAAAAGAGCCTCACAGTACTTAACAATAATCTGCTCTCTAGACTTCAGTTATGTGACAGAATGTGGACAGCACTAGGAAAAGCAGTTATGGATTCATTGTGTAATATGAGGAAACTGGAAGGAGAGGTGCCAGGCAAGCAGAGAGAGTTTTTTTCTCAAAAGACAGAGGAGGTTGATCCTGGAAAGTTACAGGCTGGTGAGCCTGATGGCAATTCAGGTGAAATGCTCATAATTTTTTTCACAGATGATTTTCAATTCTTACAAAACCCCAAAATCGGTTTATTATGAACATACATATCAAACCAACTGAACTTTTTGCAACAAGACTAATAGTTTAGTAGAGATAATTCATTGGATTTCTGCAAGATATTTCCCAATTTCTTGGAATCAAGGCAGAGAAACTTGGGCTAGATTGTCATAGTTAGTCAAATTGTGGCTGAATATCTGCTCCTAAAGGTAGGTGATTAATACATCATCAGCCTCCGAAGGTTGCATTTGGTTCACCTTTTAACTAACAACTTTGATGTGGAGATCAAGCTTATCCATTTTCTTAGACTGGGAGGGTCACATAATGAACCTGGACTTAAAAAGTTTTTTCAGGTTGGTCATTGAACAGAAACTAACAGCATAACATTAAACGTATGATGAATGTACAGTCTTGAATTCTGGTTCTAAATGATTAAATATATATGCCTATTAGCTTAACACATCATCTAAAAAAGAACTAGGGGTTTTAGTGGCTAGAAAGTTCAATCAGGGCTTATGGTGTGACTTAGCCTGCATTTAAACCAGCTTGGCCTAGGTTTATGTTAACAAAACCATAGTGCCCCAACTAAGGAAGATGGTCTTTTCCTTCTAATTTGGTCAGAACACATGTCATTTCTTGCATTTCATATCTAGGCAGCACATTTAAGGTTGTTGTTTTAAAACTGGAGTCTTGTTTAGAGCACGTGCACCAAATGATGTCTCTTAAAATGGAATATCAAATGAGGATGAACCGAAGGGGCTGTGTATTAATTAGCAAGAGTTCTGCAGAGAAACAACCAATAGGATATGTGGAGAGCAATATATGGGGAGATTTATTATAGGAATCGGCTCACGTGGTTATGGAGGCTGAGAAATCCCACAGTTTGCCCTCGGCAAGCTGGAGAACCAGGAAAGCCAGTGATATAATTTAGTCTGCCTGAAGGCCTCACAACCAAAGGGGCCACTGGTAGAAGAGAGAGAGGATTTGCCCTTCCTTTGCTTTTTTGTTCTATTTGGGCCCTCAGTAGATTGGATCGTGCCCTGCCCCCCCCACCACAGCCCCCTTTGAGGAAGACGGATCTCTTTTCTCAGTCTAATGATTCAAATGCTGATCTCTCCTAGAAACACCCTCACAGACACATCCAGAAATAATGTTTTACTAGCTCTCTGGCCCAATCTAGCCCAATCAAGCTGTCACGTAAAACCAACCATCACAGATTGGGTGTGCTTTTAACCTGGAAAATGAAAATGTTGATGGAAAGGGAGATATGTAAGGGGCTGTCAGAGGGGGAAAGGAGTAAGTTTTCTCGTGGTCCTCACAGAAGGAAGAATGAAGGTCACTGAGTGGCACAGCCTTCAACTCAGCATATTCAGTATAAGAAAGAACTCTGTAAACTGGACTGGGCTACTTCAAGTAGCAGTAAGCTTGTCACTTAAAGTGTTCTAGAAGAGATTGGGTCACCATCTATCAGGAATGTTATTGCGTGTATTTGTTTATTGAATAAGGTTGGATCAGGTGAAGCTTCTTTTATGTGATTTTGCATGACTCTAGGAACAAATTTTGTGTGAAATATATATGTACTATATACCTAGTATTATCTAACCTATAAACTCTACCTCCAGCCCTAATCCAACTTCAGCTGTTAGTTCTGACGCCACAATTCCAAAGTTACTTTGAAGATGAGATCATTTTTCAGTAATTACGGGGGTGTGGAGGGGTGGGTGGCAAAAAAATGTATACAAGCAGACACTTTGGTTAAGTTGCTCAAGCAGTAATTCACTGTAATCAGAAGTCTCTGGACGCTGATGGTAACCACTTTGAGCACCTCTGGTAATTGCTGAAGTCAAATGTGGTTTGTATTTCTCTTTTGCTGTCGGTGTATATTGAGTATTACAATTTTAATAGTTTTTTTCTTTCTTAAAATATGTATACATTTTTTTGGGGTATCATCTGTATATGCAACTCAAATTTGTATTGCTGGGTTTCTTAGATTAGTAGAGAGTCAGTTTCACCCTAAGAATCAGTCTTTCCTTTCTGCTTTGTGATTTAAATCAGTGGGACAGATTTTGTTTTTTAAGTAAACAACTTTAAACTGACAGACATGCCCAGTTATGAGGACTTCTCTCTCCCTCCCTCCCCCACCCCTACTCCTTCTCTTTTAATGGCAAGTGCAGTCATTCTTAGTGGTAAGTGGGTAATTGAATGGACCATGTTTATGACAAGTGTATGCATTTTCTTTGGCAGGATGGACGAGCAGCATCGTCAATTCTGGTTGGTGCTATGTTCATTTTCTGTAATCTCTACTCTACTCCTGGTCCAGCTGTTCGGTTGTTATACGCAAAGCGACCAGGAATTGGACTGTCACCATCCCACAGGAGGTAAAGTAAGCTAGATGCAGGGTACGCACAGACACAGTCTAATTGGCATCATGTACTTAAAAAAAAAGAAAGAAACTTTTTAAGATAATTGACTTATTATCTTCTCATTAGTCAGTTTCTTCCTTTCTCTTACTTAAATTGCATCTCCTTCCTTACCTTTTTGGATTAAAAGAAGTGCTTCTGATGATAAAATTCTGCCAGCCTTTCACTGATACATTTAATCTGCTAGATCAAATAGGTCTAGATGTCCAAATGCTGACCTTGTATAAAGCTCCTATAAGCTTTTTCATTTAATAAATACCCTTCTATCAGTTCTTTGGGTGAAGTACAGCAGTGTCAGTAGATAAAAAAAAGCTTTTCTAAATTATTGGCTGCATGCTCTTTTGCCAGTTCATGTTTAAGAAATTCACACAGTAAATTTTTATTGTAAGTTAATAATTTACAAAAACAAACTTAATAGTAAAGATTGATTGCTTCTTTCTTCTGTTGTGGTGGGCACCAGTAGAATGTGAATCTTTTGTTTTAGATACCTGGGCTATATGTGTGACCTCCTAGCAGACAAACCCTACCGCCCTCACTTCAAGCCTCTCACGATTAAGTCGCTCACTGTCAGTCCAGTCCCCTTTTTTAACAAACAGAGAAATGGATGTCGCCCTTACTGTGATGTACTGATCGGAGAAACCAAAATATATACAACCTGCACAGATTTTGAACGAATGAAGTAAGTCATACTTTTTTTTGCGTCTTCTTGTGAACTTGCTCAATTCTTCTGTAAGTTGGATCGTATTCTTCCTGTTAGGACTGCGTCTTTGTGAAATGAGTGATATTCAAAAAAAATTTGTTTGACATAGGCGGTAATCATAAAAAGCACAACTAAATCAAGGGACTCCATAGCCCCCTTTCACATGGTGATACAAGCTAAGGGGCTAACATGAGCTGTAATGAGGGTTAAGAGAGAGATGTGGGGGAAAAAAAAAAGAGAGTGATGTGGGACAGAGGACCCAGACATTTCAGAAGAGGATGACCTTGAGAGGTGGTGAGGATCATGGATGAATGAGGTTTCTAGGTGAGCAACTAGGTAGATGGTGATGTAAGTAAAGAAGTTATAGAATCTATAAGAATGAGCAGGTGCCAGTGGGAGGTGGTAGGGCTTGTGGAGAGAAGAGAGTAGATGGTAACATGAAATGAAACTAGTTTAGAGTAGATTGAATTTGAGGATTGGTATCCAAGACCCTCACAGAGCATTTCTTTGCTGTTTCTAAACTGATCTCGATTGAACTTTTTGTTCCCTGATTTCTCTGTTTTTACCATTAATTTCAAGTTAGGGAAAGGTAGGTACATCAGGGCAAGATGTCTTTGAAGAAAATGAGATCTGCAAAGTAGGGATGGGTGATTTATCTGGAAGTACGGATGGGATGGAGAGAGAGGCCCTGGCACCAGCCCAACACCATCCCATGGCAGAACCAGTTTGCACCCAGTTGAGTCTGGCTGTGCTCCTCCTGACTTTGCTCAAGATAGGAAATGGTCCCTGGGTCCAGGCCTCAGCAAACAGGTCCCTTTCCCTGTGCGATTGTACCGAATCGGACTCTGTTTCATGTATGTTTTTGTCTCTGTTTGAAGAGAATACCGTGTCCAAGATGGGAAAATCTTCATTCCCTTGAACATCACGGTGCAAGGAGATGTGGTTGTTTCCATGTATCACTTGAGGTCAACCATCGGGAGCCGGCTACAGGCCAAGGTATAGTTTCAGGAAGAATCACGGCCTAAGCTCCTCTGAGGCTGCAATAGGAGCATTTCAGTCTTTCTTCTCCATCTCTTTGGGCCTGAGTGACTGGTGGTTTTAGAATCGGAAGGAGCCCTTAACAATTGCTTATGCCCGTCTGCCTCGTTTTACAGGAGAGGGAACCAAGACTCAGCAAGGTTGTAACTCGTCCAGATGACTTTGCCAGAAGGTGGCAGCTCTAGAACTTCTGGCAAATTTTGCCTTTTTCATCGTGTCCCGTTTGGATCAGCAGGAGGGGGGATATTTCTACTAAGGATGTGGGATTAAGTAATTACAGTTTTTCAATTTTTTTCCTGTGATAAGATTAACATAACAGAAAATTCACCCTTTTAAAATGGCCAGTGCAGTGGTTTTTAGTATTTTCAAAAGGTTGTGCAACCATAAGCTCTATCTAATTTCAGAACATTTTCATTATCCCCCAAAGAAGCCTTGTATCCATGAGTGAGCGGTCACTGCTGATCCCCCTGCCACCATTCCCTAGGCAGTCACTAATCTACTTCCTACCTCTGTGGATTTACTTATTTTGGACACTTCATATGAATGCAATCATACCATATATGATCTTTTGTGACTGGTTTTTTTTCACTTAAGCATGTTGTTTTTGAGGTTCTTCCATGTTGCAGCATGTAACACTACTTCATTTCTTTAGATGGCCAAATGATAGTCCATTGTGTGGGTATACCACCTTTTATTAATCCCTTCATCAGTTGATGGACACTTGGGCTATTTCCACTTTTTGGATGTTACAAATAATACCATCAGTAATTGTATTTTAACTCATCAAATATTTGCCAAGCACGTGCTGTGTGCCCGTCACTGCCTAGGTGTTTAGGATTGACAAGGATAAGACTGTTTCCTTGCCTGTAAGAAGTGCAGCCTCGCATGGGAAGTTCACACATGTACACATGTTCCACTGCCCTGTTAGAGGGAGGAGGATAGGCTATAATACGGGCAGTTTGTTTTAGGGGCGGTGGCTCAGAAATGCTACAGGGAGCGTATGACCTGTCAGGGCAGGCCATGAAGGACAAGTTCATCAGCTTGGAGCAGGGGCATCCTGGATAGAAGGAATGGAGTGACTCCAAGCATGGCAGTAGGCAAGAACATGGGACCTTCGCCGATGAGTAAATGGCAGACTTCCTGGAGAGGAACATCTAGAAATGAGGCTGTTTCACATGGGGAGGTCATTTAATATTGAAAGTAAACAAGGATTCAAATGTAGAAACAGTTGATGGTGCATGGCTCACCAAAATATAACCTTGATCCGATTTCCTTCTTGCTGATTGATGTTAACATGCTTCTCTCATGCATTTTTAGGTGACCAACACTCAGATATTCCAGCTTCAGTTTCATACTGGATTCATACCATTGGAAACAACAGTTTTAAAGTTCACCAAGTGAGTGCTGCTGGGCCCGAATCCCCTTTTCAGCCCCAGCATCTTGGAATGCGGGGAGCCAGTTGCTCAGGCTCATTGTACTGACCCCCTGCAGGACTGCTGAGTGTTGCCTAGCAACGCAGAGGCTAGCAGCATTTTACACCTTGCAGTTGGCTATGATATGTCCTCAACATGTGGTTTAAAGGACTTCAAATCAAAAGACCGAAAAGTCCACGTGAGGGGACAGAGGGAACAAAGTATTAATACTGTGATCCTTTGCACCTGTGGATCCCTTTGTGTTTTTCAGCAGGGGTGGCCGTTTCATCAATAGTATGATTGATGTGACCTTTGGAGTGGATGCCAGGCCACAGGACTGAAGCAGGGTCCTGGGGGAACCCTCTGTCCTAGACATTAATCCTTAGTAGCGTGGTCTGGGGAACACGGGGTGGCTGAAGATGGCGTGGTAGATGGTAGTAGCTGGTTCAGGGTAAGGATAGCCATTCAAGTGCTCAGGGTGCAGGCCATGGGCCTATTTCACTATTTCAACACCCGACTTGACTGTTCTGGTGTATAGTGGGTGGATGTAGCAGCCCTGCTTTGGATAATGCTCTCACATCTGGTAGTATCCAAATTCTTTGAGTAGGCATTATCCTCTTTTCTCTAGCTGAGGAAACTGAGGCTCAGACCAATAAAGTAACGTATCTGGTTAAAGACTGATTTTTTTCCCTAGAAGTGAGTCTCAGAGTTAATGTAGGAGTCAGTCTCCAATGGCTTCTATGCTGCATATCATACTGGTGCCATTGTTTTCCGCTGATCTTATCTGTATTTTACATCCCTGTTTAGGCCTGAGTTGGATGCATGTGATGTACCAGAAAAATATCCTCAGCTGTTCCAGGTGACTCTGGACGTAGAACTACAACCCCACGACAAAGTGATAGACTTAACCCCACCATGGGAACATTATTGCACAAAAGACGTCAATCCCAGCATCCTCTTCTCTTCTCACCAGGAGCATCAAGATACCCTGGCCTTAGGAGGTACGAGTCACCTGGTGGATTTGTTTTCCCCATGAAGCCTCTGTGTTATTTATCACATTCACTTATTTCCCATGTTTCATTGACACTGCACGGCCTTTTGTCTTGCAGGACAGGCTCCAGTAGATATTCCTCCAGACAACCCCAGGCATGTTGGGCAAGGTGGCTTCTTTTCCTCTCTCTGTTGGCAAGGTACTTCCAAGCATTTCTTTAAGTTGCATGGTTAGATGATTAAGTTACATGGTTTATTTATCAAGATCATTAGGTCTCAAAACACTCTAAAATAAAGCAGCACTTCAAAGTCACGCACCTTCCTCCTTATTTCACATTCTTTGCTCATTCCTTTTTCCAATCAGGCAGCTTTCCTACTTTCAAGTCCGTAAATGCTCTTCGATTGATACAACAGGCTATCTGAAACTGAAGTCTCCCTTTTCTCTCTATACAGTATTTTGGATTTACAAATAAGCATCATATTTTCTAGCATCTCCCTTTATGCTGCTGACACACAAATTAACAAAGGACTGTCTGGCATTTTCCCTACAGGGCTCTAACCACTAGCAGGGCAGAGCTGAGTTTCCCCTGGTATAAGGAAGGCAAACACTTGCCCACATGTCTCCTCTATTTGTTTTAACAACTGTGGCAGATATAGGGCTCCATCACAGTATCCGTTTTTCGCTGAATCTGGAGATGGTCCAGAGTCTTTCCTACATAACTCTCCAGACTACACCATCAGTAGACTGGCGTTGGCATACTAATTGGTACCCATCTTTGCCTTAGAGTTTGTTGAAGTGAACTGCAAAGTTCAAGGTAGAATTGAATAAGGACTTCCTCTATGAAAGGGGTAGTAAACTGGCACTGGCAATGGTCTGCTTAATTTTCTTGCTTGACCTTCCTCCACTGTGTGAACATAAGACAGTATTCCCATTGCCTGCACAGAGTTTTCAGTGTTTGATGAAAAATTGTTCATTGAAGTCCTTTGAATTGAAAGGCTTACTTTCAGAATTTTCTACTAAGAAATGGGACTAATAACATACAAAAATGGAAAACTTGGGAAATCTAGATAGCAGGTAGATCTCCCAGTTTACTCTAAGATTCTCCTCTGTCTTATTTTTTCATACAAGGGCTTTCAGTAAAGCTCACGTTTACCTCTTTACTGCCATTTTAGTAAATAATTTGAAAGTCATTCCTGGTAGACTCTGAAATAGGTTTTAGCACAAATGCACAATTTCTTCTCCTAGCTTCGTAGAGCCAGATATGTATAGGAATGCAGAATTTTTTGGATTTTAGAAGGATGATATGGTACATAAACTGTATATTATTTAGCATTCACAGTGGCATTTCCAACAACAATTTTGTAATCAAACATACTAACATTTCTTCAGTGAAACATATAAATAATATCCCCGACTGAGATAAATGAAGACTACAAACAATTCCACATCAGCTCTGGTCAGATTGTTCTACCAGCTGAGTTTGTACCAAACTCAGGGACACCTTTCCCTTTTCATAGCCTTTTGCATTTCACAGTTGGGGATAAGGGATGTGGATCTTACTTGATTTGAAATGTGGATCTATCTGACATTAAGTAATCAAGTTCTGTAGGAGGCTCTGTCTCAAGGGGAGCCTGGAAAGTCACTCACCAGCCTTTCTATCCCTTCCCTAGAAGATAACCTCTTTTCTGCTGCCTATTTTATGCTGAAAGTACCTCCTTTCAGGTTGGTGGAAGGAATATCCTAAGCAGAGCCATTCCCGCTGTTCACTTATTAGGTGTGTGGTTCACTTCTGCTCTAGATTGTGGGAGAAAAGCATCGCTTTTGGCTGCAGGCCACATGGAAAAGTAAAAGTGAGAGGTGTCCGCAAAGGAATAGGAGGTTATAGCTTTTTTTCAAAGCACTTAGCATAGTGCCCTGAAGATAACCACAATAATAATAATAATAAATAATAAAAGATAGGGCCGGCCGAGTAGCGCATTGGTTAAGAGATGGCTTGGGACGCCAGAGGGCCCCGGTTCGGATCCCACATATGATGGCCAATGACACTGCCCTCTACAGCTAAGATGCTGAACAACAGCTCAACCTGGAGCTGGGCTGCCGTGAATTGCTGGCGACAGTGTAGGCTGAGCCCTGCTGCAGTGGGTTGCCATGGGCTACCGTGTATAGCCAGCAGTCAGCGTGAGTGGCCAGCAGCCGCCTTGAGCGGCCGTACGAAGCCGGCAACTGATCTGCCTCGCCCGGGAAGAGTGCAATGATGGTGCCAACTTGGGCCAGTGAAGCAACGTCCTCCACAACTAGACTGAAGAACAAAAGGACAGCAACTTGTCTGTTCCCCTTCCCCCAATTCCCCAGTGCTGTTCCCATCCCCCAATTCCCCAATAAAAATCTTTAAAAAATAATAATAATAAAAGATATAAACACTCAAGTCCTGCTTACTATTGATCTAGGCACTTCGTATACATCGTCTCATGTAATTCTCACTGTAGCCATGTGTATTAGGTACTATTTATTACCTTCATTTTGCTGAGGAGGAAACCAAGGCCCAGAGAAGTAAAGTAACTTTCTCAGCATTACAGAGCCAGTAAGTACTGGCACGAGGATTCAAACCCAGGCTGTCTGGCTTCAGAGTTTCTGTTCTTCACTCCTGTGCTATATATAGCTTCTGAGATGTTCAACAAATGGTAATTGAATGTGTAATATGAAACATATCATTTTCTATTGGAAAGGGTTTGGAAGTGTTGTTTGCTTAGGCTGCTGCTTCTGTTTTTCTGGAGCGTGTGTGTGTGTGTGTGTGTGTGTGTGTGTGTGTGTGTGTACGTACATATATACAAAGCTAACCATTTTTTGGCATATTCGCCTTTGTTAGATCAGAAATCAGAGAAGTCATTCTGTGAGGAGGACCACGCTGCCCTAGTGAACCAGGAAAGCGAGCAGTCAGATGATGAACTTCTGACCCTTTCCAGTCCACACGGCAATGCCAATGGTGACAAACATCATGGAGCCAAGAAACCCAGCAAAAAGCAGCAGGAGCCAGCTGCCCCTCCACCCCCTGAGGATGTGGACCTTCTGGGCTTAGAAGGGTCTGCAGTGAGTAAGAACTTCTCCCCGCCAGTGGCTCCTCCCACCAACTCTGAACTGCTCAGTGATCTGTTTGGCGGTGCAGGTGCAGCCGGCCCTGGACAGTCTGGGGTGGAAGACGTGTTTCATCCGAGTGGACCTGCGTCTGCCCAGTCAACACCACGCCGATCTGCCACCTCCGCCTCTGCGTCTCCAACCTTAAAAGGGAGAGAAGGTAATTTTTTCCCGTGTCACACTGTACTTCTCAGTTTCAAATTATAACCTTTGGGCCAAGCAGGCAGACTAGAACCTTCCTAATATGCGAGACTTTTCTCGTCTCACTGAAAGTCCCTCAGAGGTCTACACCTTCATTTAAATGGGGAACACAAGAGGACATAGACGTCTTGCCCATTTTGGTAGGGCAGTGGAAGAGTGGATATTTGAGTGCCTCATCCTTACTTTGTTTTTTTCAGGGCTTCGATACCTGAGCTGCTTTCATTACTTCTGCTTGGAGATGTAGGTTGATGAATAATAACAGCTAATATTTATGGGGTACTTACTATTTGCCAAACATGGAATTTAATGCTAAACGTGATTCAGTTCTTATAAAAACCCAGTAAATAGGTGCTATTATTATCCCCATTTCATAGTTGAGGGAATAGAAGCTATGAGTCAAATTAGTAGCATGCATTCATGCAGTTAGTACTTGATGGGGCCTGCGTTCCAAACTAGGATTTGATCCCAGAGCTTTCCCTCAAGTTTCCTGTCGCGCCTTCCTGTAATTGTAGTTTCCTGACTGCACTGTGGCTGTGCAGAGAAGCACTTGGTTACTTCAAGGTATATTTAAGGGACTCATGCCAGTAGCACAACTAATGGAGCAGAGCAGTTGGTGCCAGTTAAGGAGTTTGAGCCCATTGTGGATAAGTTAGCTTCACTTTGCTCATTGTTGCAGACTCAACCCTTCCTATGAATGGCCATCCATAGTTTTTTGATATTTGCAAGACAGTATAGCTGGGTAAGCAGAGGTCCCTTATAGCTTCTAAAGAACTAGCTACCCCTTGTTACCAAGATGACATCACATTAGGAAGAGTAATGAGAAATGTCTTAGCTCTCCAGGCATATGATTACCTAGAGGAACTTTCTTTCCCAAGCTCATCCTTCGTTTCTGAGAAAGGATTGATTTATGGTAGTTCAGCTGCAGGCATTCTTTATAAGAGTGAGTCTCAGAATCCTAGAAGGTAGGCGCAGAGGCTCAAGCTCCTACATGTTATCGGTGAGGCCAGCATGTGAACCCAGGTGTCCTGCATCCTAGGCTATTCCCTCTGTACTTCATTCACTTCCTTCCATTCAGTTTTTACTCATCAAAGTGAATAAAATCTGGCATTTTCTTTTGGTCAGGAAAAAACTTCCCCAAGATCCAAGATAGCATAGTACTCAATGGTCACATGTGAAGACCATGCACCTTGCGTGGCTTTTGATGATTTCATTCATCATAGCCTGTGCAGATAGTTGTGTTCCAGTCTCAGAACCAGAAGGGACCTTTGAGACATTAGATACAAATGTTCCTCAGGTTATAGACAGTGAAATTGAGGCCTAGGTATATTGACTGACTTGTCCAAGGATATACCGCTGATTAGTAGCAAACCCAGATCTAGAACTCAAGTATTCTGTCCCCTAAGGGGAAGTAGAAGGAACACAGTCCAGAGTTAAAGGCTTGGTTATGAATCCCAGGACTGACACTTAACTGCCTGTGTGGCCTTATTAATAAAACCTTAATCTTCTTAGTTGTACAATGGGGATAATACTTAATCTGTCAGCATTGTCTTAAAGACTAAATTTTGAGCTCTCGTCTTGTGGTGTTGGGAAGTTCACTTTTAGTTGTTGGAGAATGCCTCTAATTTAACATAAGTTGATATTAAAAGTGTACCAAGTAACAGTGAAAAGATTTTATAGCTTCCTCCACTAGTTGGCTTTAAAACTTAGATGTAGAGGGATTAACCCAGTGTCCTCTTATAGTTACTCTATAAATCTCAGTGCTCTCATTTTATAGGGAGCATAAAGCTTTGTGAGCGTTAAAATAGGAAAGGTGTGTAGCATAGCGCCTGACAGATACTTGATCTACTAGTGCCACACAGGACTAGTCTGCCCAGCAGATAGTAGGAGAGCATTATGGCAATGAAGTCATAGCTGAACATACTGAACCACGTATCCTACCTGGGCTTTGAGAATGGGATTTATTCATACACTTGTTTGATTCTAGTTGTCTATTCCTAAATAGGTCAACCCCACTCCAGGAAGCAATCCACTCATTAGTTTGAAACTTACAGATTAGGAAGTGACATCTCACCACAAGTTGCTAAGGGACATTTTGTTCCTTGAGTGATAATGAGATATTACAGGCCAATTATACACATGCAGCTCTGCATGGTTTTCTTCAGTCATTTCACACCTTGATAAATGTGAGATGCCTTTGGGAAATTCCTGGAATTTAGAGTCAGAAGAATTGAGCATGAATTCCAGCACTGTTATTTACTTGATATTGGGCTTTCTAAACCTTAGTTTCTTTGTCTATAGAATGAAGATAATAGCGCTTCTGGTCTGAGAGAGATACTGGATATTGTGGATCAGCTGAGGTCTTCTTTATGAAAGGCAATATAAACCCTAAGAAATGAGACAATCTTAGTATTGTTGCTGGAAACCTCAGCTGCCTACTTTGTTCTAGATTTCTCAGTTCATTCACAAACTTTTGTTAGCCCTGGTGGAAGATTGAAGGACAGGATGGGCCTGTGGAACAGCCCAGGAGGCAGGCATCATCCCAATTTTTCAAGTATTTGTCCTAGGACCTGGCGAGAGTGACAACTCCTCAATATTTATTCAGTGAATGAGCTCATAGGACAAAGAAACACAATTTTTCTTTTGTTTTCTAGCCACCTTTGACCCATTTGGAGCACCTTCTAAACCACCAGGGCAAGATCTGCTGGGTTCTTTTCTGAACACATCCAGTGCTTCCATTGACCCCTTTCTTCAGCCTACGAGAAGTCCTTCACCTACGGTACATGGTAAGGAAGTATTTTCTGTTGTGTTCAGTAGAACATAGATTTCCACAAGATATCAGGTGCTTAGATTTAAAAGCATCCTGCAGTTGTTTTTTGCGGTAGGGATGGCAGTTGGGGAGAAGCTACATAATGCATCTCTCTCTTTTGGAAATTAACAATTCACATTAACCTATTAAAAGCTCTGGGATATTTTACCATAGCAAGACTGTGAAACTTTGTTTTACTGAGCTTTTCTAAAACTGATTTGACAGTGGAATTCTTTTTTGCATTAGAGCTATATGCACAGAATTATAAGACACCCTTGACTGTATGTACTGATAAGGAGGAAAAAAATGCTGCTACTTTTAGTTGATTAAAAGATGCATCCTAGTTGGAAAAATCTTTCAAATGTGGAAAAATATAAGTCTGAAAATAATAAAATGTAATAAGAACATTCCACAAAATTAGTATTCTACAGAACTAAGTTTAGAATACAGTACCCTAATTATTAGAGCGATTCAGTCTAATACGAAGTGGCCATTATTACTTGAAATGTGGCTAGTCTGCTTTGAGATGTGCTCTAAGTATAAAATAGCCCAGATTTTAAAACTTAATACAAAAAAATGTAAAATATCTCATTAATTTTTTATATGAATTACTTGTTAAGATAATATTTTGAATAGATTTGGTTCAATAAAATATATTAAAATAAATTTCACGTATTTTAATGTGACTAATAGAAATTTTAAAATTACATATGTGGCCCACACTATATTCCTATGTTAGAGACTTAGGTTGTGTGGAAAGAATAGTAATCACATTTATTTGTAAGGGCAAAAGGGTATAATTTAGATAAAACTGATTAAAAATGGGGTGCTTTGGTGAAAGACAAATGGCTTTGAGCTAGAGAATTGTCCTGATTTTGAAGGCTCTTGAACACTATTGGCCCCAACCTAAGGAGTGATGTATTGATGTAGGCACCCTGAGCTTGCCTGGAGAATGCGGTCCAGTCACCAGCTTGACCTCATGGAAGTCATGCAAAAGCAAAAGGAAGATGAGTTGTGCAACACTGGTCTAACTATAATTTGACTGAAAATGAGACAGCAGTCTAGGGATAGCCTTTAGGAGTGATTTCCAGTTGGTCTTAAATCTCAAACTGTTTGAAGTGTGTCCACAGGACAACATACACAAAATGCACCCCCATCCTTGAGTAGTGCCCACCTAAGAGATTCCCCTGAATGGAAGTTCAGTACCCTGGGAGGAAAGATACAGGGATAGAGGTTAAAGCTGTTGTTTTCACTCACTCACTTGAAATTTAAGTCATGTCATTGCTTTGCTCAAAAAGGATCCCTATTTCATTCAACATGGTAGCCAAAGTCCTTGAAATAGTCTGTGTAGGCCCTATGTGCTCTAACACCCCAATGACCTCACTTTTTATTTTCTGCCTCTTGCTCTCTCCATCCCAGCCGTACTGGCCTCTTTGCTGTTGCACTGGCTGTCCCCTCTCCCCTAGACTTCAGCATGGTTAACTCCTTTACCTCCTTTGATCTTTGCTCAACTCTCAACTTCCCAATGGGGTCTACTCTGACCGTTCCATTTCACATTGCAACTCATCCCCCTGCTCCTACTCTACATTTTCCTTTCCGTGGTACTTATCAACTTGCAATATATTTAATAGTTTACTTACATGTTATATTTATATTTGATTGTCTGTTTCTCCTCACTACAGCGTGAGCTCCACCAGGGCAGGGACTTTTGTTTTGTTCATTAATGCTTCCCTAGTGCTTAGAAGCATTACTGGCACACAGTAGGTGCTATCTCTCTTTCTAATATGTAAATATAAAATGAATTAACGAATTTTTTTCCTACCTAAGTCTCTTTGATGGATAATGACAGAATTAGTAAGGTTATGTATTTTCCTGACTTTAATATTTACAATTTATTGTTTTCATAAGATATACCTTTTATGTCCCATGGGCATGATATTTATACTTCAGCATGGCAGTTCTGGGTCCAGTTCCTTGTTTCTTGTGAATTGGTTAGAACGGGTTGTTTATCACCAAGTTTCGGCCAGCTAGCATCCCTTTCTTTGGTGGCCACACTTCTTATTTTGGCCTGTGTCTTGCCGATGAATGAAAAGAATTTTCCACTATGCTTGCTGGGAAAGCAAGGATCATTCCACTCTTAGTGTATCAGTTGCATCTTCTTTTTTTTTTTTTTTAAAGATTTTTACTGGGGAATCGGGGAAGGGGAACAGACAAGTTGCTGTCCTTTTGTTCTTCAGTCTAGTTGTGGAGGATGTTGCTTCACTGGCCCGTGTTGGTATTATCATTGTGCTCTTCCCGGGTGAGGCAGTCGCTCACTGGCCATTGGACGGCTGCTCATGGTGGCTCACGGCAGCTTACGAATGCTCACGCCTGCTGCCAGTCAGCCCCACTGCAGCCTATGCCATCGCTGGCCACCCACGGCAGCTCAGCTCCAGGTTGAGCTGTTGTTCACCATCTTAACTGTAGAGGGTGCAGCGTCACTGGCCCTAATGTAGGTTCCGAACCTGAACCCCACTTCTCAGAGCTGGCGTCAGTTACATCTTCTTAATATAGGGTAACTATAGGTGAGACACAGGTGTCAGATTGGGAGGTCAGATGCCCACCTCCAAATTCTTGGGGAATTTTCCTCATATTTCCACAAGGTACCACCAATCTCTTCTGAAAATTAAGAAATATCGCCTTTGAGTTCTAAAAATATTTATAGAACGTCTACTCTAAAGAGAATGAGCACTTGGGGCATAGTGTTGGAAGAAAGAGTAAACAAATAATCATAATAAAAGACAAAAGGGGGAATAAAAGTATTAGGTAATTACCTTTCAATTTGTATATTCCCGTCTCTCCAATATATCTTAAGCTTCTTGAGGATAGGCAGTGTGTCTTTTAGTTTTCTGTTCTCTGGTGTGGCGCATTGCATATGCTATGTGGTCATAAGGATTTGTGAGTTTGATTAGTAATGAGGTTGATGTTCTGACACCTAGTTCTGCATCCTACTTGGATGTAAGACCTAGGTGAAAGTGTGAAGGAAATCAGACAGCAAATGTTAGCAAAATGGTCTAATTTCCACCTCAATTTTCAGGGATTACTGTGGAATAAGAATGGAGAGGAAAGAACTGTTATTGCTGATAATGGCATGTTCTTTTTAACTTAATGATAAGAAGGTACAAGGTGTCTTAATTTGTACCAAGCAAAAAAAAAAAAAGTAAATGTAAGTCTTGGTAATACTAATCTTGGTGATTTGATGATTCTTGTGGTGGTGGTGTGTGTGTGTTTGTTTTAAATTCCACTTGCAAATGTTAGTTTATTTATTTATTTATTTTTTACTGCAGTATCATTTACTCATCTTTTTTTTTTTTCCTTTTTACTGAGCTCAGCTCAGGCTGGGCATTGAACCACTGTTGCTCAGAGCTCACACTCTTGAGCGAGCTCTTAACCAACTGAGCCACTTGGCCGGCCCCTACTCATCTTTTTTTTAAATTAAAGCTTATTGGGGTGACAATGGCTAGTAAATTTACATAGGTTTCAGGTGTACAATTCTGTAATACATCATCTATATATCACATTGTGTATTCACCAGCCAGAGTCAGTTCTCCTTCCATCACCATATATTTGCAATGTTAGTTTAGTATTTGTATTTTACTCACTGAGTTTATGAACAGAACCTACAAGTGCCTTGAAAAGAAATTATTTCTTATGGCATCCTATTTCTTATTTGGATTTTATAGATGCAGAAAAAACTTAGCATATTTCTCCATGTATAAGACTCACCTTAATTTTGGGGCCCAAAATTTGAAAAAAAAAATGTATTACATAAAGTTATTGAACTCAAGTTTTATTCATCATGAAATTCATACAACTCCTCATCACTGTCAAAACTCCCAACCATAGCCAGTCTCAGATTGTTTTGTCAGTTGGAGGAGGACCAAACTTAGCTTCAGCAGCACGATTTCCATTCACCTTTGCAAACTTCACAAGATCACTTTTAACTTGAATTCAGCACTGTACAAAAATCTTTTCTGAGCCATTTCTGGGCAGAGCGTGGCAAAACATAACCTAATATACTGGTAACAAGTGCGAAACAATGAGTGCAAAGACAACAAGTGCGAAAAAGCGGGAAATGCAAGTAAAAAACCTACAGCCACTGTATAAGACGCACCCAGGTTTTAGACCCCAAATTTTTCGAAAAAGGGTGCATCTTATACATGGGGAAATATGGTACTAACAGTGTGTGTTACTCTAATACAGCTAATACTCTTTAGCTGAACATTCTTAAATGCTACATTTGGAATTTTGAGAGGGGTTAGAATGATCTATTTTGAAGCTGTAATGAGTTAGTTTTGAGTAACAATAGATACATCTCTGACACAAGCATGGTGGATGGCGTATAGTCAGTGCCCGATACATGTTCTGAATGATTCATCATTCTCAATTCATGCCACAGAACAGGAGAAAACAAAATTTCAGTTTTATGTTGATCATGCTACTCATGCACTTGTTAATGCCAACCTGAGGCAAAGTGAGTTTGTTGTTTTTCATCTTTCCTTATTGCCCACTGACTTTTGGTTAAGTATAGAGGTAGGACACACAAAGATGAATAAAATAGTTCCTGCCTTCCAGAAGCTCACAATTTAATGGAGACAGACATAGGCACAGTTATAATTCAAAGTGCGTGGATATGGAGATAAAACAAAGGTGAGCCAAAGAAGGAACAGAGATAAACAATATATGGCTTTTACCAACCCTGCTGTAAGAACCACAGATGAAGGCACAAATTATCAAGTGTTGCAGAATGTGGCAAGAGCTCAGAGGAGGGATGAACCCCTTGGGACCTTGGGAGGCCATGCAGATTGCATGGAGGGCACAGCGTTTTCCTGTGTGAACTTAGAAACATGGGTTCTAAGCTATCTTGTTCTGATTCTTTTTCTTTTCCTCATGTTTAGCTTCTAGCACACCTGCTGTGAACATTCAGCCAGATGTTTCAGGAAGTTGGGACTGGCATACTAAACCAGGTAAAGGTCAGCAGGTTTATTATTATTATTATTATTATTATTATTATTAATTTTGGTGCACATTTAACCAATTGCTAAAGCATAACCCTTCACCTAAGATGAAGTGAATATTTAGAGTATTATAGGCCACCTGTGTAGTTCATAGTGATGTTCCCGAAACACTCCTGTGCTGATGGAGCTCTTCGCGTTGCAGTTGATGACATGGTAGTGCTGTGTATTGTACATGATTTCAGTGTTCTGAGTCTCATTTGCTGAATGAATATCTGTCTTGACACTAGAATTAGGCAGATCTAATGTTGCCACTTAGAAATTATTGGGTTGTTTTATAAGTCTGAACCTCAGTTTTGTTATCTGTAAAGTGGGGGGTCATAATTCTTCTCCCACACAGTTGTATAGTTTAAGTGAAATAATTTAATACGAAAATTTCTGGCATGGAGTAGTTGCTGAATAATTTGGATGGTCCCCCTTCTTCACAAAGGACTTGTTTTGGGGCTGGATTTGTCTGTGATAAATAAGCTGTGTTTCTCATGGCTAGGTGGTATTTACCGAGAGATATCTTGTGTGCAAGCAACACCATCCACACATCCACCCAACACACACACACACACACACACACACACACACACACACACACGCACACACACGTGCTTATCACAGCAACTTTCTGAAGCAGTTGCTGTTTCTTTACTCGCCAAATGAGAAAATGTTGAAGCTCAGAGAAGTTAAACAACAAGCCCAAGGTCACTCAGCTAGGAAACAGCAGAGCCAGAGCTCAGATCCAGGCCTGACTATAAATCCCATAGGAAAGAATGGAGTCGGGTGACAGGAGAGGCAAACACTGGACATAATAGTTCACAGGTGTCGCCAGAAAACAAGGCCTTTTCTGTTCCTTGTTCCTGTTCCAGCCCACTATTCACATAAGCCAGAAAAGCAAGGCCAGCAACTCCTAACGTATTTCCAAACCCTGTCCTAATTTGCCCTTAGAGGCAAGAAGCGCCGTAGCTCTGGATTCTGAATTTCAGAATTCGGCCTCAGAGAAGTTAACTCATTTTCCATGATCTGATTTCCTTTTCAGGAGGTTTTGGAATGGGAAGCAAGTCAGCTGCCACCAGCCCGACAGGATCTTCGCATGGCACTCCCACCCATCAAAACAAACCCCAGACTCCGGATCCTTTTGCTGACCTTGGGACACTAGGTACAAACTTAACAGGTTAAGGTATTTACTTATGGCTACAAAACCTCGTATCTAAAGATTTAGTGTTACAATAAGCTGGCACCAAAAATCCTGTGTATTCTTAAACTGCACTCTAAAACCTGAGATTGGCTTTAAAGGAAAAAAAAAAAAAAAGGAAACAGACTTCAAATAATGGGTTAGAACTATTAACCCATTTCTCCAATACCTAATTTGGGGTTAGTAACATGAATAGAGTTAGAACTTCCAAAAGCATTGGACAAAAGGGTTTGGCTGCAGCAAAAGTAACACATGTATAGAGACACACTAGGAAGCTGGTCAGATAGATTTGAGCCACATGGGTCCAGCCATGTGTAGGCTGTCTGCAGTGTCACCAGCGAGAGCCTCACACTGGTATCCCTCTCCTCTCTGTTGACTACAATGTTCTCTGGTCAGTGTGTAAAATTCCATATCGAAAATAGACTATGTAGTATTTCCAAAGTGTTTTTCATCATATGTTAATCGTTGTTACAGGATAAATGTTCCATGAGCAAGTCATTTTGGAAACACGGGGTTTAGTGGACTTTGATTACTGCAAAAACATCTGAGAATATATGTCCAGGATGGTATTCCCCTAAAAGGGATAAAGTTTGCAGGGTTCTCAAACTATTTCACCAAGGAACCTTTTTTCAAGGAGCAGTTTATTGGATGTTCTGAAACCTTGTCTTCCTCCTTTTTCCTTCCTCCCCTGGGCAGTGCAGAGTTGTTAAATAAGGGTGAGTAGCCATGTTGGTAGGTTAGGTTCTCAAAGCCTTCCTGAGGCGTTTAAAGACAAATTGTCTGCTGGGAATGAGACTACGGCAACCATTTTTGCCCGTAATTGTGTCAGAATCTTGACCCTTCATTATATATTCTTTAGATTTTTTTTTTTAGTCTTTTAAGAACTCTCAAAATTATTTTCCCTTTTTTATATCTTTTAAAGTTTTAAATAACATCTGGTGAAATTCTACTTCAAATAAAACTCATTTGCCTGTTCACTTTTTATCCATTTATTCATTCCACATCTATTTACTAAGTGCCTCCTATGTTCTAACTCTGCTTTAATAAAATCCCAACTAACCAAAAAACAAAACCAAAACAAAATTCCTGTCTTTCTAAAGCTTATATTCTAGAAGGGGAAACACACAGTGAATGAATAAATATATAATATAATGTCAAATAATAAAAATAACAGTGTTTATTGGGGGTTTTACTATGTGCTAGGCACTATTTTAAGTGTTTTACATATATAAATTTATTTAGTCTTCCCAATAATCTTTTGAAGTACAGAATAGTATAATCCTCCTTTTGTAGATGAAGAAACTGGGGCACAAAAGGTTAAGTTACATGCCCAAGTCATAAAGTTTAAACACTAAATTCTATCTCTAAAGCTTGCACTCATAACCCCTGTGCACAGTGCTATATAAAAAAATAAGGCAGAGAATTGATGGGGAGTGATGTATGGACTAGGTGTTATTTTAGATATCAGGTGGTTAGGGAAGGGCTCTCTGAAGAGGTGACCTTTAAAGGAAGTTCTTTTTTAAAATCCAAGATCACATCTTACATTTAGTTCTTATAGACACCTTTAATCTGGAATCATTCCTCAGCTTTTCTTTTTATTTATTTGTTTGTTTTTTTAAAATTTCAATTACTGTTGACATACAATATTATATTAGTTTCAGGTGTCCAACATAGTGATTAAACATTTATATAACTTATGAAATGATCACCCCGAGAAGCCTAGTACCCATCTGACATCATACATAGTTATTACAATATTATTGACTATATTCTCTATGCCGTACTTTACATCCTCATGACCATTTTGTAACTGCCAATTGTAATTCTTAATCCTTCCATGTTTTTCACCCAGCCCCCCAACCCCTCTCCCACCTGGCAACCATCAGTTTGTTCTCTGTATCTATGAGTTTGTTTCTGTTTTGTTTGCTTATTTTGTTTTTTTAGATTCCACTTATAAATGAAATCTTATGGTCATTCCTCAGCCTTTCTTTGCCTTTTATGACATTGACACTTGAAGCGTACAGGCCAGTTGAGAAAGTCTCAACTTGTTAACTTTAATCACTTGCTTAAGGTGACGTCTGCCAGTTTCCTTTATTATAAAGTTACCATCTCTTGGTGATTAATAAGTAATCTGGGGGAGATAATTTGAGACTGCCCTATTTTAGATAATCTTATTTGAGAATATTTTGTTCTCCATCTGACTTTTACCCACTAATTTTAGCATTCTTGCCTGAAGTAGTTATTACTATGATGTTTGCAAATTGTGATTTTCTGAATCTGTCATTCTTTCTAATTGGCATTTCACTGGAAGGAAAATTTCTTTTTCTTTCTCTGTCTCCTCTTCTCTCCTCTTCTCTTCTCTTCTCTTCTCTTCTCTTCTCTTCTCTTCTCTTCTCTTCTCTTCTCTTCTCTTCTCTTCTCTTCTCTTCTCTTCTCTNTCTTCTCTTCTCTTCTCTTCTCTTCTCTTCTCTTCTCTTCTCTTCTCTTCTCTTCTCTTCTCTTCTCTTCTCTTCTCTTCTCTTCTCTTCTCCCTCTCTCCCCCTTTCCTGTCCCTCTTTCTCACATCCGAATGGACTAATGGATTTCTTTTTTTTTTTGATTCAGTGAGTTATCATTCATGACTATCATTATTCCTTTTAATGTTCACATTGTCCCAGATTTGATTTGTGAAAAGCCTTTTGTTCTGGCTTCTGTGTCCTTTTCACTGGATTCTACCTTTTGAGAACTTTCTATATGGCCGAACAAGATGTTCCAGGCCTGTCTTGAAATTTTTACACCCTAGTCCTAGAATCAGTCATTCTCTAAAGACTTCTCATTCTCTTTTGTGGGGAATGGTATTTAGAAACCAAAATTTGTGCACTAAGTATGTTGATCGGTACTAGGGTGTGTATCACTGCTCTCTACCTTCCAGGGCATAGAGATAGGAGATGAGTGAGTGTCAATATGTATAATTCCATCCAGTACCACAGGGTTCTTTTTTGCCTTCCCTTACTGTGTATGTGTATCTTCCATTTTCCTATATCACAACAACATTCGTATACAACAAAAAGTTTCACAATAGTTATACCCAATAGTTTCAGAATGTAGTTATCGCTACAACAACAAACCTACCAGGAGGACTTTAAGAGTTCTTTGTCATTTTTGAAATGCAGTAATTCTTACAACTCCTGGAGAAATTTGTTTCCTAAATTTTTATCTCCATTTTTCAAGTCATGTAACTTAGGGAAGTTAAGTGACTTTCCTAAAGCCACACTGTGAACAGGTGACTGAGCAAGGGCTACCAGCTAGAAATTTTGATTCCTAGGTAGTTGCATTGGAGTAAATATTAAACCTCCAAATTATATAGTTACAATTCAGAAAAATACAAAAGACAGTGTCCTTTTCTTTAAGGTATTTTCATATTGAGCAATTCTGATATAAACACCTATGAGTTAGTTCCTCCCATAGATATTCTGATTTAATTGATCGGGCTCTGGCTTGAATATAGAGAGTTTTAAAGCATCCCCTGGCGATTCTAATGCACAGCCAAGGCTGTTAACCATGCTTTTAATGAGGTTAGCAGTGGCCTCTGGGTTTCCCTGCTTCTTTGTGTTTTTGTCAGTTCTCTGCCTCAGCAGCATTAAAAGTTAGAATTGCTGAACATGGGTAGAAAATATTCTGGAAGGGTAGACTTCAGAAAGTTTTACAATGTTGATCAGCCCCTTGAGAGCAGGGTCAGCTCCTGCTTTTTCACCATTGTGTCTGTTACCTGGGATGTAGAAGATGCTCAGTAGTATTTTATAAATGACAATCTATTGGGAATCTGGAGGGTGGTTTGGTTTGTTGTTTTTTTTGTTTTCTTAGGCTTTCCCATATTCACTGAATTTTAAAATAATAGATATATACCAGGGGTGCTAAAAAAATGTATACACATGACTTACATTCATCTTTTGTTATCAGTATATATTATTACAATTTTAATACAGTTTTTTCCTTTCTTAAAATGTGTATATGTTATTTTGGCACCGTGTGTGTGTGTGTGTGTGTGTGTGTGTGTTTGTGTGTGTGTGTGTGTTTGTGTGTGTGTGTGTGTGTGTGTGTGTGTTCATTTTCACAAGGAAAATAATAAGCATCCTTAAAATATAAAATGAAACCCCAGTGTGGAATGAATACCCAGCCTAAGGTATATGCGGATGTGCTGTTAGCAGGTGGACCCACAGGCTCATGAAGTGAGGCTCCATGCTCCGAGTTACAGATCAACGGCGGGCATTGCCAAGCTTCAGACCACAAGCCTGGGCATTACCTTCTGCTATTACCAAGTACTTATTGAGCCTTTATGATGTACCAGTGTGTCCTGGGCACTGCTGGGCATATGAACTTGCCTTATTTTATAATCTATAATGCCTCTTAATTTGTTTCACTCAGGGTTTGTGAAGCACTTTTGTACAGCCATTGTGTCCTTACAGTGTGCTGGTGATGGAGATGTAGTCCTGATTTCACAGATCAGGGAGCTGAGGCTCGAGGAGGTGAAGTTTTTCACTGAGCTTCAAAAGTGCAGGGATTCTCTATAGACAGTTTTCAGCTGTATATTCCAGTGCCCAGCACAGCATCCTGATGAGCGTGTGAATGAAAGAGAGAGCTGCGGCTCAAACTCGATTGACTCCAAGTCCAGTGGCCATAACAGCTTTCTCAGTGGGGAAGGAAGGAGGAATCCCAGGTCAGAATAGAGGGAAAGTATCTATAGAAAGAAGAGACAGTAAAGAAGGGATGAGTTGTCGTGAAAAGCTCAGAGATTTGGGGAGGAAGTATGGATTATGGGTGCAGGAAATCAACATGACATTTGGAGGTGGCACGCCTGTGGTCAATTCCTGGCTCCATTAACGAGCTCTGTGATCAGGAACATGTCGGTAAACATCTCTGTGCCCTGATTTTCTTATCTTTAATGTGGGGCCAGTAATACTTCCTACCTCCAAAGAGTGTTGTGTAGATTGACGGCAGTAATATACATAAACCTAATCTTGTAAACTCTAAAGAGCTATATAAATGTTAGTTATTTTATAATCACTGTTTCTTTGGGTTTGTGCAAGAAAGGATCCCTGGAGATCATGATATTTCAGTTTCTCTTTTTACCTCTTTAAACACAAGCCATAACTGGTCTTCATGTTTTGGAAACACCCCAGCATGTATACAGTGAGTCCTTAAAAGTTAGGAGATTATGGAATCAGGATTGGACTTAAATTCCTGGCACAAAGTAATGTTACTTTTTAAAGCGTGAATTCGATCCTCTGCCCTATTCAAAGTTGTCAGAATACTGGCTGTGTTTACTCTCCTGTAGTGAAATGTACGTAATATGAAATGGAAACCTACTTGTGAAATTTCAAAACATCTCTGTTTTCTCTTGAGTAATAACCATGCTTGTACTTATAACAAACAATGATTAATCCTGATCATTGAAGTGTAGGTAGCACCTTAATGAGTGGATATATTTTGTTTTTTCCTTCTTCTTGTCATTTGGTAGTTTTGACTCCAGTGAAGAAATAGCATCTGCTTAGAAGGTGGCAAGGAGGAGACGGATGGCACAGTGGGAAGAGCCAGGGCTCTTCTGGCTTGGAGAGCCAGAAGACCTGGATTCAAGGCCCCGTTTTGTCACTTGCTGTGTGACTTTGAGAAAATCACTTAACTGCTCTGAGCTGCAGTTTGTTCATATAAAGAAAAGATGGGGTTATTAATACATACCTAACAGTGTCATTGTGGGGATTCAAAGAAATCTATACCTGAAATTTCTTTCATTATTGGGAAGGTTGATTGTGCTATCAGTCAAGGCAATTTTCACTAACGTCATTGCAAACAGGAACTGGGACACAAGAGTGAGAGGTTACTCAAAACAGCATTTACCTTCTTTCTCCCCTTTTCTCTGTAGGTAGTTCTTCATTTGCCAGCAAACCCACCACACCAACTGGACTGGGCGGAGGATTTCCACCTCTCAGCTCACCACAGAAAGCTTCTCCCCAGCCTATGGGTGGAGGGTGGCAGCAGGGAGCTGGCTACAACTGGCAGCAGACACAGTCGAAGCCACAGCCTAGCATGCCACACTCCTCTCCCCAGAACCGACCCAACTACAACGTGAGCTTCTCAGCCATGCCTGGGGGCCAGAGTGAGCGTGGGAAAGGATCAACTAATTTGGGTAAGGATGATGGTATGGAGCCCTGCTGTTGGATGGCCTGTGTTGTCATACTGCCTATATGTATGTATGTCTGCAGGAGACAGGAAACAATTCCAGTAGTTTCTGAGGCAATGTTATAGCTGTAGAGACACAGCATGATCACTGCCGCCAACTGCCTAGAGCACCTGGGTTTACCAGACTCTTCACACTTATCATATCATTTTCCGACTATTGGCTCACTTGTCTGTCTGTCTCCACACTAAGACCAGATGGAGGCCAGGGACTGTGTCTTTTTTTGCCATGTTATCTTAGGCACATAGTATAGTGCTTGGCGCGTCATAGGAACTAAATGAATATTGAGCGGATGTGAGTGGAGGGTGGTTGGATCTTCAAGCTGGCATCCCTTTGGAAAAGTGGGTAGAAGAAAAAGGTTGGGAACCTCTTAAGCACTGTGTTCACATTTGTGCATGGCTCCTGAGTAGAGGAGTGAGTATGTCTTGGACATTTGGTCTTTTTATGCTCTGGTTAGTGATGTCCCTGAGATCATTGGGTTTCCTGTGATGGTTATTCCTCTCTTCTGAGAAGGAAGTTAAAAGAACACAAAATGGGCCAACAGCTCGGGTTGGAGGATCCTCTGGATGGCATTCTTTTCTTTTTTTTTTTAATGGGATTCTTGATGAGTAAAAAAGAATATGTTCTTCCTAGCAGGGATGGTTAAATTTGAATTTGTTAAAAGACCTGTTATGATATAGCTAACATTCCACTGATTTGATCATACCCAAGAATGAAATGTATAGGGACATGATGAGGAGACAGGCCTTTCTCTCAATGGAATATGGAAAAGAAAATTGTTCTGCACTTTGTAGTAGCAATAACTAACATTTATTGAGCATTCACTTTATACCGGGGCTATTCTGAGCAGTTTTTATGTATTATTTCACATATTCTTCAAAATCAACCCCATGTTGTAGACGAAGAACCTATGACAGAGATGGATAAAGTAATGTCCTAAATTCATACAGCTTGTAAGTGACAGAGCCAAGATTTGAACCCAGGCAACCAGGCTCCAGAACCCTTGCTCTTCACCAGCACAAGTGCCTTCTGGCCATGACCAGTGCCTTCTCACAATACTAACATGCTAGGGATTGTTTTGTTTGGAACATGTAACATCATGTTTGTTCTTCTGCTAGCAGCGGATATTCCTTGGACAATTCCATAGAATCTTGTGGCTTCCATTCCAGTTTTATTTTGAGTAGGTGTGGGGTGTCTTCAATCAGCAGATATTTACGGAGCACCTTCAGTGTAGAATACATGGGGGATACAGCAGTGAACAAGGTAGATAAAACCACTCATCTCAGAGCACTTACGTTTTAGTGTGTACGTGTGCCAGTGTGTGCACACAGTACCTTCCAGTATAGAGATGACAAATGGGTTTCAATTCAGACATCAATTCTGGTTGATGGGCATTGACAGTATGGACTGGTGTGTTGTGGTTTTGTTTTAATTTAACAGACATATAAATAGCCAGGTACTGTTCTAAGCCCTTTGAAATGTTAACATCAATTCTCACAACAACCCTATGAGGTAAATAGTATTGTTAACACTGTCCCCATTGTACAGATGAGGTGACCCAAGCATGGAGATGATAAGTAACTTGCCCGAGTTCATATTGCTAATAATGGCAGAGCTGGAATTCAAACCCGGGGAGTCTGTCTCTGGAGTCTCTGCTGTTCGCCACAAGGCTAGGCTGCTTCTCCAAATAGGCTGAGAAAAATTGTGAGGCCACAGCCAGACTTGGAGAAAAAACCACTAGGATGGACTAAAACTGTCAGCTGAGTGTAGGAAGCAAAGCGAGGGCACGCATGGATTTCAAGTACCAAAGCTCAGCCTTAGTCCCATCACTGATACTAACTAGTTGTATGACTGGGGCAAAGGGTGGGGGACAATCATGAGTGTCCTCATCTATAAATAGATGGTAGAGTGGAAATGGAATTATGGAATTAGATTTAGTCTAATGATCTAACCTCAAGTCCTAGCTTTGCCATGGACATGGTGTATGACCCTGGACAGATCTCTTAAGTTCTCCAGACTTCATTTTTCTCATCTATAAAACACGCATGACAGTCTCAGACCCACATGGTAAGTGTGAGGATTAAGGAGATTCATGCATGTGAAAGCGCCTTGAAGATTGTAAGTATTACGAGACAATGGTATGCTATTATGTTTAAGAGTCAAAACTATATTGAGTTTTAAAAAATTATATTGCAGAAGGGAAACAAAAAGCAGCTGACTTTGAAGATCTACTTTCTGGTCAAGGTTTCAATGCACACAAAGACAAAAAGGGGCCTCGAACAATAGCTGAGATGAGAAAGGAAGAAATGGCTAAGGAAATGGATCCTGAGAAATTAAAGGTGAGTGAGCCCCTGACTCAGTGTGATTATCCTGTATGACAAGGTCATGTGACAAGGTCATGGATCCATCCGCCTTCCTGTTCTTGGCCTCCTCACTGCTTCTCTTCACTCTTCACCAGAGCAGTTCTGCCTTTATGTGTTTTGGATCTGGACACCTAGGTAAGATTTGACTTGGGGCAAAAGAATGTTTCTCCATTGGTGTTTTTTTTAAGTGTATAAACCGGATATTCTAACTATCTTTAATCACAGATGAGGAAATGGACGTTACTTCAGAGATGAGGATGCTGTGTGGACAAGTAGACCCAGATTAGCCTAGAAACAAAAGGGAAGTTATGTTGAGGTAGTGGAAGAGTTTGTGAAGATCAAGATATTTAGCATGCTCTTCACAGATGGAAAAGTTGAACTCCTACATGACAAAATACTAAATATGCTGCCATTATAACAAACTAGAAGATGAAGATCTAACCTGTTACTGCATGAAAGCATCTTCAAAACCAGGACTGGCACAGCCGCTCAGTCTTATACATTTGGAAAAAATATAACACATTTCCAGACAGATTTGAGCATCTGTTGAGGATGTACAGATCCTTTGATACGTTTTGACTATAATAGAGGGAACTTTGTTTGTAATTGCTTTTCACTTCACACATCACAGAAGCTTTATACTCCTTCCAAAACCTGTGTGTTCTGTCGTGATAATTTTTATTCATATGGCAAACTCTGTCACTTTTCTGTAAAAGAAAGTCATGTATGTCTTTTCAACCATACTTGGTAATTTAGTTGGTACAGGGGATTTAGTTGTTTGGGAGGGTAGCCATCGTTAACTTGACTAAACCATTCATTGGACAACAAACATGCACTGAGCTCCTGTTAGGTGTTCACAGCTGATGCGTTGTTATGATCACTTCAACCTGATCACCTCATTTGTTCAAACTAGGAAGATCCAGACTATGAATAGTTTGAATGATGACTAAATGGATGAATTCATTTAATAAACCATTTTGAGCAGGTCTTTTCTGTGCCACCCAAGTTACTTGGTTCCTGAGATAACAGTGTTATCTGTATTTTCCTCAGACAGCTCTGCCTCATGGCAGGAAAGGACAAACACACAGACAGTTACAGTAAAGTGTGCCACATATTATGATAGAAATATGTTTCAGGGAGTAGCCCAGAGAAATGCGTTCTGTTTTTTCAAGGGATATTTCTTTAATGTCTGTGTGCCCTATGTCATACTAGACAGAGTCAGAGAGCAGAGACTAAAATAGACATGGCATGTGTCTCCATGGAGTTTATTATACTTTAGGAGTAAGAGAGGAAGGAATTCAAACTCTCAAAGGGGAACAAAATGAAATTCCTGAGCAGGCTTTTAAAGGATGATGAAGCGTGAATCAGAAAGAAAAGGCAGGAAGCGGAGGTGGGAAAGCATTCCATGTAGAGGGAACAGCTTGGAGTTCCCTGGGACCCCCAGGTACTTTGATGCCATTGGAGTGGGAGGGGTTTCCACAGCCCCTTCTAGATGAGAAAGCATGGAGACCTTCTAGACTCAAAAGCATTTGAACTTCTTAATCCCCCTGTGTTTGCAGATTCTGGAATGGATTGAAGGCAAAGAGAGAAACATCAGAGCACTTCTGTCCACCATGCACACGGTGCTGTGGGCTGGGGAGACCAAGTGGAAACCAGTTGGCATGGCCGACCTGGTGACACCAGAGCAGGTGAAGAAGGTGTACAGGAAGGCTGTGCTGGTGGTTCATCCAGATAAAGTGAGTATAACCTGCCCTATCGTACCGCCTGTCTGATCCTCGTTTTATTAGTTTATCAACATATATTCAAACAGCATAGTTTTAATTTGATGGTTTATTAGGCCATTTATATGATAAAATAAAGTCCATGGGCTAAAATCAAGTATTTAAACAAATAGTTATACTTTATAAAGTTGATGAAAAAAAATCAACCTATATATTACAACGGAATGGAGGCTTTGCTTACAGCGGTGTAAGATTCACCCCCAACTAATGTTTAGGGTCTCCAAGAACTTAACTATTTTTAGAAATGGGAAAATAGTAGTTTAGAAATACAATCAATGGGAGATAGGCTGTCATGAACCTTTGTCATTTGGTAGATACTTTGGAGACAGACTGAAGAAGAATCTTGCTGCCCAACAAGTTCTCCATTGTCTACTCATTGACGGATTATTACTACCATATGTGAATTTCTAGGGGGAGGGCATTCTGGGGAGGCCACAGTAATTAGGGTCACATAGATTGGGCTGTAAAAACAGAAATAGCCTAATAGAAAAAACGTTTCAATAATTTAGAGCCCACGTATTAGCTGTGGAAAAATTAATATAAATAAAATTTCGTCCATGGTATCTAATGCGTATTTTGTTTTGTCTATAGGCTACTGGGCAACCCTATGAACAATATGCAAAGATGATTTTCATGGAGCTCAATGATGCCTGGTCTGAATTTGAAAATCAAGGCCAAAAGCCCTTGTATTAATTTATGAGCTTTTCCATCTCTGCTACAGACCTGTGCTAATGCGTAGTGTGTGTCACAATTCTGAGATTTTCACAGATCAACCAAAAACTCCAGTAACATGTATCCAGTACTAAAACTGTTAAATTACTTGTGAATTAATTCCTCATTGATAAGCCGTGTAGATGTTTGTTTTCTCAAGTCCCCACCATAAAAGTTCCAAAGCAGGAGAGGAGCTTTTAGTCAGATGACCTTGCAGAGTTACAACATTCCAGCCTGGCCTTTGGGGAGCCGATGCAAAATATCATGGGGAAATGGAAAATAGAAGCCACCGAAAGCAAAACACCCATTTCATTGTCTGGGAATAGGATTAATGAGGAAAAGTTATGATAATAAAATTATATGATGGATTTTAACTAATGGTTTTTAGATTTTCTTGGAAAGATGTAATTTGAGCAACCGCTTTATATAGACTCTAGAAACACAACCACCAAATTTTTTTTTCTTTTTTAATAGAAATTTACTGTGGTTTTTAGCATAGCACTGTACACTTCTTTTGGTCAAGAGGACAAGAGGACTTGCACAAGAACTTGCACAAGAACTTGAATTGTGAAAGCAATTATACTGCAATACAGTGATTACCACCAATTCTTCCCGGATAAGCTAAAAATCAGTGAAAATGCTGGCTAAAGAAAATAGGGACTCTGAGGATGTAGAAACCTTTATTTCTGGTCAGAAAGTTGGGCTGCTACCTTCATTTCCCTTGAGAAAACTGTGGTTGCTTAATTAAAAATTCTTAATAGCATATGCTGTATGATCTGAAAGAAACTTCTAATTTTGCCATAACGCTTAATGCCCTTCCTTTTGCTTAGCCAAGAAAACGTTCTTAGCTTGTTGTCAAGCAGTTTGGAGCATTTACAAGTTATCAGGACCAATACCTAGTATGGACCCGGTGTCCTCTAGGTTTGCGAGTGGTTTACAGTGGGGCTTATCATTTTAAAAGTTGTTGGGGATCCAAAGGACATCTGTGAAAGCAAAGCAAGAGTGAAACCTTTGCAGACCTCACACTGGTCAGTTGAGTTTTTTTGGCTGTTTCTAATTTTGAGGGGTAAGCAGTTGTTATCCTGTGACTTTAGTAGATCTCTTTTGGTGCACATACACATGTGCGTAAATATATATATATATATATATATATATATATATATATATATATATATATATATAATTTATCAGATGGGCAAAAAGATTTCCATGCTAATTTTAAAAGGTTCATGCTCAATATTGTGAAAAGCTTTCCAAAATTGTTTTTCAAAGACAATCATTTTTGTTTCTATTTTTTAATTTTCTTGTGGCAAACTGTACTGGAAAAGCAGCATGTCAAAAATGCTTTATGTTCTATAGAGAACTCTCTTTTTTTTCTTTTTTTTTGTTAAAAGGGTTCATTTTTTATTTTACCTTTTACTGACAATGTGAACTCGCAAAAAAAAATGTTCTTTTTAAATATACAGCTGTAAACTGTTCACGATAACCATAACAAACTAGGTGTTATTTATTAACGTATTATAAAATAATGTTTGATCCAGTATGTGCTTGTCTTATTTAAAATCGGAATGTGAGACATGTTGCTGTGACCTGTTTTTTCCCCTCATTCACATTTGTAGATATTGTGTGAACTACAGTATATAATGATAATACTTAAAAGGATATTATGTGAATGTCACGTGCATTTTGAAATGATAGAACTATATTAGCTTTGTATCATGTTTGGATAATTCACCAATGTTCACAGTTTAAAACATCATTAAACATTATGTAATTAGCAATGAGAAGGAATCTTACTTAACCTAAATTTGGGTTCCCCACCTCTTTCCCAGATAATTATAACTCTGGACCCCTGTTTAATCTCAAAACCCTTAACATGTGCAGACCAACAGGTTTTTGCATTTCTTTTAAATACCTGGTTGTGACAGAGCTTCTTGTTGATCAGATTCACCATTTCATTCATATTTATTGTAATATATTTTTGTTTTGTAAATATGTTACACACAACAAAATGTGATTGGTCTAAAATATTTGTAATGTATATTAAAAGGATCAAAAATATTTGTAGAAATCTAAATTATTTTGGCACTCACAGCAATATAATGACAAACTTGAATTACACCGTTCCACATGATTCACATTTAAGAACAGTTAAAGGGAAAGAATATGAAAAGCATAAAATAACATTGGTACCAAAATATAATCTGACAGGAGTTCTGGATTTAGACTCGGACCATCTTCACTGCCACCCTTGCCTCCTTGACCACACATGCTTCGATCATGCTACATGAATACTGTGTTTCAGAAGGAATCAGCATAGAAATCCTGGTCTCCTAGTTAAAATATTAATAAATTTTTCAAATCAAAGCTGCATTTTTATACTGAGGCATAGGGACTGGTCCTGGGAGTCTGGGACTTAATCGTAGAAAACATATTTTAGTTCTTTTAGGACAGAAGCAGCATGTTCATTTAGAAGCAAATGTTGCAAATCAAAATCATTTGAACCATTACTGTACTGTCTGTGTCTGCAGGAACGCTCAAGTTGGACCCTAATGCTGCTGATAAAACACCATCATTTAAGGAATGAATGCAAAAATTGAATTCCAGAAATAGCTATCACAGCAATCATTCAGTTTCTCCACTGGAAGCATCTATGGGGAATTTAGGTCAAGTAAACGGGGTTTTGTTTGTTCTAAAGCTAAACTGTGGCGTCTGGGTATAGTAGTGCAGTATTGGTTTGAGACCAAAAGACTGGGTTTGAATCTTGGTTTTTCCACTTAAGACTGTTATATTGGGCAAATTTCTTAAAGTCTCTGAGTCTTAATCTTATCACCTGTAAAACAGAGATAATTCTAACAACCCTGCAATGGAGAAATTAGGCATTGTGTTTATAAACTGCCTGTTATTAAGTGAATACTCACTAAATAAGAATTATTGTTACAGTCAGTAAGACAAAGGGTATCACTGTAGGTCAGTATTGGAGCTGAATTACATTGCTGTGGGAAGTGGAGAACATGAGTAGGAAAAGGCAAACGGTTGACTCTGATTTCTGCCTCTTTGGGCTGACAGGTCTATCTGTATAAAATGGCAGGAACTTGCATTGTAGGTTCTATAAAGGGAATGGCTATGTGAAAAGTAGTATTTGAGAGTTAGGAAGGAAAACTAACATTGGCTGAATTTAATAATGTTGCCTCAAACTTGCATTTAACTTATGCAAGGACAACCCGAGTGCAGATGTGATGTCACTGCCTGTATCTTTCATGCACGGTCCTAGGTACTATTCTATATATTTATTTTCTTATTTAATTTTCAAAAATTTCTGAGAGGCAGGTTTTGTAACTTGTACCTCAGGAAACGGAAGCATGGAGGGGGTTACCCAGAGTTGGGGCTTGAGGCTAGATCTTTTCTGTAGGACAGGGAGAGATGATAACTATATATGGTGAACTTTATTAATATTTGTTAATTCAAATATTTTGTGTATACTGTATGCAGGATACAAATATGTATATAAGGAAAAATGAAATGAGTAAGTGGATTTGATTGCCCTGTTAAATATAAGGGGCTGTTATTTCTAATTACCATGACAGTTTCTGCCTTCATGATCCATCAGATCTATTGTGGGGAACAGTACAAATGCTAAGCATCTGACTTCAAAGGCGAACTGTTTTGGGCTTGATCTCCGCTTCCCTATCACTAGCCACTGTCTGAGCCTTAGTTTTCCCATCTGTAAAATGGAGATGATAAAACCTAGTTTATAGTGTGAGAGAACTGAATGCAAGGAGAGACTATAAAAATTTATCTGAAGAAGTCGCTGCCGTTCTAGGCAGTGTGAGGACACAGCCTTAGATATCAAAGTAACACACTGATGGCCAGTCGGGGATGGGGTTCAGCTCCTAAGGCTTTACTTGCTGCTTGTGGTGACTCTCTTATTGAGGAAATGTGGAATGGGTAAGTGGAAGAACAATTTTTCAGTACAACATCTGGCAAGAGGAAAGCAGATTTTCTGAAAAGATGGTTAAAGCCTCAGGCAAGATGGCAGATTTTCTCTTTAAAATGTTTAGTAAACTGAAACAAAAGGACAGCTGGTATGGGCAGGAAACTTGTTGGAGACCAATGCTGGCTCTGCATTTTTCTGATTCTGGACGTTACCCACCTGCAAACACCTCATCTTTTTGCTTCTCACCATCTTCAGTTTCTTACTGCTAAGCTTAAGGCACTCAAACCGAGCTGTGCCTCTGAAGTAACCTCACTTTTCTCCAAAATCATTTCCTTTCTGTGGGACTGACCTCAGGTGGACATGGAAGCCTCTAACAAACCTTCATGTATGGCTTTTCAGACACTTGCTGGGTAGTTGGGAATGGAAGGGGAAACGGGCTGATTTGACCCTATAGGAAATCCTTAATTTTGGAGAAAAACAACTTCCTCATGAGAACTGCTTGGCACTACTTAGTAAGGAAGCTAAAAAAGACAGATTTTCAGTGTTTGGGTGATAGGGAGTACCCCGAGTGCTTTAGCAGGTGTTAGAAAGAATAGGAGACTCAAAACAGGGAAGGAAGTCCTCCACTATCTTGAATACATTGCAAGCAACAGAGTGCAGTAACTCTGGATTCTATGGTTCTGCACTGAGTCAGGTATCAGCAACACAATGTCTTAAGTAAGTGTACCTTCCATCTATGAGGAGACATGAGAGGAGCTAGAAAAATAAACTAAACTCACAGGTAGTTAAGCATGTGTTGAGACAATAATATGCGCAGTGTACAGTTCTGAAAAAGTAAACCAGGCCTGAAAGGCAGTGGTGGTGAGAATTTGTGCTTCTCGGGTAGGTAGGAGACCTTCGGCTCCCAACGTCCCCTTAATCATTCAGTCTCGCTGAAAATTAAGAATAAAGCAATCGAAGAGGGGCAGCACCGTACGTACTGTGGAATGGTTCTCAGCTAGAATGAGGGGTAAGTAATCGAACCTCCGCAAAAGAGCTGAGTCAATCAGGCAAGTCCTACCCTTTCTGGGCCTGTTTCTATAAAGGTCTAATGAAGTACTTGAACCAGGTGTTTTCAAGCTCTCTTCCAGACTGTCCCCCAAAAGACAAACCCCACCCACTTAAGGGAAGTACAGAATAGCCCTCGGAGGAGGGCTCAGAGCCTAGGAGATGGGATTGCAGCGCAAGTGGGTTTGCAGGGCGGGCCCAAGAAACGAGACCAGGAGGCAGGATCACAGCTCTGCGAGATGGGGGCGGAGTTATGGGCGGGCTGGGACACGGCCGTGCGTGGGGGGCGCGGATTTGGGGCCGGCAGGGGCGGGGCTCCGAGTGGAGTGGGTGGGGAAGATCAGGACTGGCAGGGGCGGGGCTCTGGGTGGCGGGGGCGGGCTCGGGACCCGCGGTACAGCCCTGGGAGGGGGCCAGGGCTGTGGCAGGAAGCCGGAAGCAGCCGCGGCCCCAGCTCGGGAGACATGGCGGGCATTAAAGGTACATCGGTGGTCCCCGGCTCGCTTGTCCTGCGGTGGGGTCGCTGTCTTCGCCCCGGGCTGAGTTTGGAGCTGCGCTTTCGGCGCGTGGGCGGCAAGCGGCCTTCCCCCAGACTCGCCACGCTTCCCGCCCCTTCAGTGGGAATGTGCTCTCCGGCTCCCTTCGCCCCTTGGGGTGCGGGTGGAAGGATGTTTGGGGAACCTGTTTTTTTTTTTTTTCGCAAGGCCGCTGGCCTTCACACTCGCCTGGCACTCTGGGATCCTCCAGGCGGAGCCCTCTGCAGGGTCGGTGCCTGCTTGGGAGACCTGGGCCAGCCCTCGGAGCATCATCTCCTCGGCTCCTCCTCAATTCCTCGGAGAATTCTCCCCACCCCCCGCCACACCTCTTGCCGAGTTTTTAACGAGGTTTCCACTTCCTGACATGCCCTTCCTAAGGCCTCTCCTGTCTTTTCCTGCCTCTCCGCAGTTTCCCAGTTCTTCCAGAGAAGCCATTGTCTCCAGTGTTCTCGCGTTGGGGCACTTACTCCTGTTGTTCCTGATGATTTTTCCAGTTGGGCAGAGTTGACTGCAGTCGAGTGTCAAAAGAAAGCGCCCAGAAATGCTGTTATTTATCATAACTGTGGAGGGTAGATTAGGTGGAATTTTATCGCTACTTTCATGTATGGACAGACAAGTGGTGTTTTTTGCAGTTATGTATTTTTGAATGGTGCAGTTGGTATAAAGGGCCAGGAACACCACTTCCCTTATCTGTATGCATTTAGAGGAGTGGGGAATGGCATTGGTGGGAGAGGTTATTGGAAGGCTTCCTGTTATTTGGGGAAGAAGCCATTAGATTTCTAATCTTTTGAAAAGAGTAGCATAACTTGTGTCTATCCTCTTTAAAAGGTGCCTGTCCTCCTTGAAATTTGTACTCAAAGATCCTCCTTCCCCAGTTAACCTGCTGTAAACATGTATACAGTATATTTGCAGGCATGCATGCATGCTTTTACTGTGAAATTTATTGAGTGTGTGAGCTGTTAGCCACAGACACATTTTATCATTATTTCCAGCTGACTTTTATATTCAACATTAGTAAACATGATTGACTGGGACTGTGACCAGTGTGTAATATAGCCATTTGAAGCCAATGCAGAAAACAGCTGACAAGTCGGATCCCAGTATTCTGTTTAGCCATGCCCAGAAACTATGAAATAATAATGTTTATGTGTAAATGTGTTAGAAATTGTGGTGTAGTAAAAAGCAAGCTAGGCTATGAAGTAGAAAAGAACTAAGGGAAAGAAGTATTTTGCAGATAATTCAATTCAACTTTTATTGAGGGACTACTATATGCCTGAGACTTGGGATAAACATAAATGAGAAGTTATTGCTGGGGGACAGAGTTAGAAATAATTACTATTTAAGAAGTTGTGCTCAGATACAGCGAAAGCACAAAGATGGTGTGGGTTGAATTGTGTCCCCCAAATAGATATGTTCTAATTCCCCAGTACATGTCAATGTGACCTTATCTGAAAATAGGGTCTTTGCAGATGTAATCAAGTTAAGATGATACTGAATTAGAATGGACCCTAACCCAGTGACTAGTGTCCTTATGAGAAAAGGGAAATTTGGACATGGAGACATATAAGGAGAACATATAAAGACAGAGGCTTAAAGTACAATGTTGTCGCTGCAAGCCAAGGAGCACCAGAGATTGCCAGCAACCACCCGCGGTTAGGAAGAGGAAAGGAAGGAATTTTTTCCTTAGAGTCTTCAGAGGGAGCATGGCCTTGCCAACACCTTGATTTCAGACATCAAACCTCTAGAACTGGGAGAAAATACATTTCTGTTGTTCTAAGCCACCCAGTTGGTGGTACATTGTTAATAGCAGCCCTAATAACTTAATACAGATGGGATCACTTACCCCCATCCCAGAAAGGAAGAGGATCATTTCTACACAAGAGGCAATCCTTGAATTGAAGCTGAAAGGATCAATAAGGCTTCACCTAGCAAAGGATGGGGGGAGGGCAGACTTTAATCCAAATGGAGAGACAAGCGTGTAACATAGGGCAGGGGGCATGAAAGAGCACACCTTGTCCTCTCCAGGAGTGTAAGCTATGTTAATAAGACTGAAACAGTGGGAGAGTGTCGAGGTTTGCCATCGGAAAGGCATGGAGGCTCAGACTGCGGTGCATCTCAAGTGTCAGAACAATTCGTAGGCTGTGAAAAGCAACTGCAAAGCAATGACACCGATACCAGCTTTATATATTTGAGAGATCACGGTCTACCGTGTGGAAGAGGGTGGGCTGGAAGATTTGAATAGAGGCAGGCATTGAGATGATAAGGGCCTTGCACTAGGGCAGTAGCAGAGGGTTGAAGAGAAGAGGGTGGGTGCCTTAGTCCTTGGAAGCTTAAACAATAATTTATCAGTTCTGGAGATTGGGAAGTCCAAGGTACCAGCAGATTCAATGTCTGTTGAGGACTTACTTCCAGGTTTATAGATGACCATCTTCCTGTATCATTAATGGTGGAAGGGGTGAGGGAGCTCTCTGGGGTCTCTTATAATGGCACTAATTCCATTCATGAAGGCTCTGCCCTCATGACCTAATTACCTCCCAAAAGCGTAATACCATCCCATTGGGCATTAGAATTTAACATGAATCTTGTGGGGACACAAGCTTCCAGTCTAGAGCAGTGAGGTCTGGGAGATTGAGCTACCTTGACTTGCTGATTTTCTGGAAGGCAGAGCACAATGATCGTATTGGTATTTCATGGTAGAACTGTCAAAGGGAAGAAGTGTGTGTTTAGGAGGAAAAGTTGGGGATGTTTTACACGTGTTGAATTTGAGGTCCTTGTTGGCTACTCAGGCGGAGAAGTCCAGATTGGAGCTGGAGGTGCAGCACCGATGTGGCGGGGCCCTTGTGGTCCTGGGGAGCTGCGGGTTGGACGCAGTGTCTCAGCAAGCGTGTAGAGTAAAAAGAGATGAAGCTGAATTCCTGGTCAGCTCCAACTTAGATGGTAGAGGATGCGATTTCTGAAAAAGGCAAAAAAGGACTAAAAAGAATTGACTGGAGACACAGTTGTGATCCTTGAGAGACTGCTGTTACAGACCAGAAAGAAGAGGTCTGTGGTTCTTAGCTTTGAAAGGTGTCCTGGAGGAGGGAGTAATGCAAATGGTCAGGCACAGGGAAGGGACAAAGCCAACTAGGAAGAGATCCTCTGTACTGAAATAATATTAAAAACTTAACTTCGTACATTTTTCTTTAAAAAATGACATATGCTAAATGAAAAAAATATATAAATTATAATTGCCAATCTTTCCTTCTCCCCTAATATCTGCAAACTTCCAGATGTTTTTAAAAAGTCACTTGACATCTTCCTGTAAAACAGTACCCCCAAATCTCCTCTTAATGTAAAAGGAAGCAATGAAAATGCTAATTAGTTTAATGAGTGGCTAATTTTGAGTGTTACGATTTTTTCAGAAGGAAATTTGGCTAATATAGTGTCCTATGCTTCTGATTTATGCCTTTGTCAAAGAACATTGTGAAAATGAGCAGATACCTACATAGATGAACATTTACTTATTAAGCCCCTCCTTTTGCCAAACACTTTACATAGATTATCTCATTTAAGTCCCATAAGCTACCTCATAAGGTGGCACCATTATTCCCATTTTACAGGTGAGAAATCAGATATAAAGAGGTTCAAAATCTACCCAAGGTCACACAACCAGTCATGGCAGAGAACGTTTGAACCCATGTTGGTGACCCAGAGCTCAAGATTTTTTAACAACGCTGATATTCTGTTTCTCACTTAGCAGCATGAGAACAGACGTGTTCCTATCCCCTCAGAAATTAGTGTCCTACAGATGCTAGGAATAAATATTTTATTCAGTAATTGAGAATGATTTTCTGTGAAGACAGTTTGCAAATACTTGAAGTATTGTGGTTTGGGGAGGCAAAATGATCAAGGGTATATATTACAGGGAGGCAGTTTTGCATATAATTTAAGGAAAGAGGGTTTTCAGTATTTAGAAACTGTCAGAATGAAATGACCTGCCTCAGGCAGTAGTGAGTTTCCCTTCACTGGAGTTGTGTAGACTGGCTGGCTGGCCTCTTAGGACAAATATAGGGAGAATTCATACATGAGATAGGGGTTGGGTACTGGAAATGCTTGAGACCTTTCTCCACCTAAAAATTTCAAAGTGGTGGACATTAGCAATGATTTGCTAACCAAATGTAACATCAACTAATAAAATAAGTAAATTACTACGTTTGCTTAAATTTGGGATCTTTTATTCTTTTAATTAAAATTTTTATTGAGATAAAGTTCACATACCATGAGATTAACCTTTTATAGTATTAAAGTCTGTGGTTTTTATTTTATTTTCTTTTTTATTTTCTAGTTTTTTAAAGATTTTATTGGGGAATTGGGGGAGGGGAACAGCATTGGGGAATCGGGGAAGGGGAACAGACAAGTTGCTGTCCTTTTGTTCTTCAGTCTAGTTGTGGAGGATGTCGGTCGCTTCACTGGACCATGTTGGTATTATTATTGCACTCTTCCCAGGTGAGGCAGTTGCTCACCGGCCATTGGATGGCCTCTCATGGCAGCTCACAAAAGCTCACACCGGCTGCCGGCTGCTCACACTGGCTGCTGACCGCTTACGCTGGTTGCCAGCCACTCGTGGTAGCTCACAGCAGCCCACTGCAGCAGGAGCTGCAGCCTACGCTGTAGCCGGCAGCTCAGCTCCAGGTCGAGCTGTTGTTCACCATCTTAGCTGTAGAGGGCGCAGCGTCACTGGCCCACATGTGGGATCCGAACCAGGGTCCTGTTCAACTCTTAACCAGCGCACCACTCGGCCGGCCCTGTGGTTTTTAGTATATTCACAAAATTGTGCAACCATCACTACTATCTAATTCCAGAACATTTCATTACCTCTAAGAGAAACTCTATACCCATTAGTAGTCATTCTCCATTCCTTTCCTCCTTCCCCAGCCCCTAGCAACCACTGATCTGGAACCTGTAACTCTTGGTTTTATTTTTCACAGCTCTTGTGTTATTATCCTTCAGTGGGGCTATTGGACTGACTTTTCTTATGCTGGGATGTGCCTTGGAGGATTATGGGTAAGTTTTTTCAAAAAAACTATTCTTTTTTTGTGTCTTTGGCACTATTTTTTTTGGTGTGTTTGTGTGTGTCATGGGTGTAAAAAGGTTTGGTTAATTTAACACTAAACTCTAACCAATGATTTAGAGAAGCCCAAATTATGAACCTAATCCCTTCATTTGTCAGCTGTACTTGTACAGAGAAAAGCTCTTTTTAAAATTGATGTATTCATTTAATAAGCATTTATTGAACACCTACTCTGGATCAGCTGAAAATACAAGAATGAAGAGACATAGTGTTATCCTCCAGGAGCTCAGAGTTCTAGCTGTGAGCCCTACTAACAATCCAGTTAGTAGGATGACAGCTGTAGTGGAGGTATGTGAAAAGTACAGTGAGAGCATCGAGAAAGTGCATCAGAATTTCCCTGGGAGAGCTGGGGAAGGCTGCATAGAAGAAGCTGTCTTTAAGCTGAGACTTGGTGGATAAATAAGAATTTATCAGGCTGATGAGTTGGGGAGGGCATTTCAGGCAGAAGGAACATTCAACAAATTTCTTTAATTTTAATGCCATCTGGAGGTAGAAAATTATCTCACATTTATAATGTACATATATAGACACACATAGACAGATACAAACAGAAACCTTTTGATCATGAGAAAAACTCACTAGTTTACAAAAGAACAGTTGAATCCAATTTTTGTTTCGGAGGCATTTACAATTTATATTATCAATGTAAGAAATGTCCAAACCTTAGAGAATTTTTATGAGTTTATTTGAGCCCAAACTGATGACAGTTGCCGGGAAGCAAGATCTCAGATGCTTTGGAGAATGACAATTTTGCAGTTTCTTTTATGCATTTGAAATTAAGGAGGGAATATAAGGAAGATTACATGAAGGTGGGAGAAAGCAAGCTATAGGATAGTTAACAAGATTATGTGCTCCCTTGAGAGTGGTTATTCTTCCAAGGAGCCTAGAAAAGATTACTCTGGCATTTCAGATGTGTGTTAACCTTGATGCACAAGAACAATGGACAGGGCTTGCATTGCAACTTTTTACTAAAGAAGTTATAAGCCTGAGGTGTGACTGACTGCCCACCATGACCTGCCCAGGTAGGAATTTATGATCAGATCACCCTATGAGGTTACTTTCGGTCACTGAACTTGTACTGTGTTGCCCACAGTGGCTTACTGTGAAATGGAACATAGTCTCTTAGATTTTCTTCAGAAACTTAACTGTACTCTAGGAAGAATTATGAGCTCTTGGCTGTGGGTATGTCAGGTAACAGCGGAGTCTATTCCAGACCTCTTCTCCAATCTGTATCTGTTTCCTTGCTGGTCCAATAAGGGCTTTGAGCTACAGAATCTCTAAAAGCCCCTTCCAACAATATTGTTTGGTGATTCTTGAAATACACTGAAATTCCTCTAGTTTAAAATTAAGAGCCCAAACTCGGTGTTTTTGTCCTGAGTCTCTTCATGATGGGCACTTCCCTGTCTTGCTTTTTGGTTAACCTTCCTGCCCTCCTAGATCTGTGCTGAAATGAGAAGCTTTCATTACGGTGTGGCTTCACCTCAACTCCTGCTCAGAGGGTCTGGCTATCTGGTGGATCTGTGTTATCAAGGCACTGGGGTGTTATGCATTATTGTGTGTATATATAAAAATGGGTAGAGACTATGCCTTTTTCCTCCTCTCAGGAAATAAAGCATAATAAATGTCTAACTGATGGAGAAGAATATTTTTAAAGCCTTTATAGAGAAAATAACTGGAAAGCAGATGACAGTTTTTAACAAATACAAAACATTGAAATTTGAGAAGAAAATAGCTTTTTTTGCATTATAGAATTATTGTGATCCCTTATAATAAAGATTAGAGTGTATCTAAAGTTTTCACTAATAAGTATATTTATTTTCATGTCTTCCAAACTTAAAATCTATTTATTATTTTGTTCATTCAATAAATGTTAATGAAGCACCTCATTCTAGGCCCTGGAGATACATGGTGATTGATTAAGACAGATGAGATCCCTGTTCTCATAAACAAGAAAATATCAGATGTGAATAGGTGCTGTACAGAAATTTCAGACGGTGGTATGCTCAAGGGTGATTTGAGGCATTTAAAATGGATGGTCAGGATAAACTATTCTTAGGAGGAGACCTCTCAGTTTATATTGTGTGATAAGGAGGAGCCAGACAATAAGAAGATCAGGGGGTGGAGCATTCTAAGCAGAGGGCGTGGCTAATGCAAATACTCTAAGGCAGGGATGGGCTAAGAGTGTTTAAGGAACAGAAAGAAGGCTGATGTGACTACAGATTAAGTGAATGCAGGAAAAACGGCACAACATGAAGGAAATAAATTGAGCAGATCATGTAAGACTTTGTGGGCCGGGACAAGGAACCTGGGTTTTATTCTAATCCATTGAAAGGTTTCCAACATCAGACACGAAAAACATCTTTATTGAATTAGCATGTGCAGCGCACTGTCCTGTGTTCTATAGGGAAAGCGGAGATGTCTAAGTTAAGCTTCTGTCCTTAAATTACAGCTCAGTAATAATAAGAAATAAATATTCTAGATTATACATTGTGTAGTTGTTTCTGACCACAGTGTCAACTATCTACCTCTCAATGGACTGGTCATTTTTAATTATCATTACTTCTTATGTGTTCCTGGTAGAAGTCATCATATGTGCTAGTATTGACAGTTGAATCAATAGCTTTTTTTGACCTAGACATTTTAAATAACATTAACTTTAAAACAGTAGAACGTCCTAACTGTAACTTTTCTTTTTGCATTTCTTCTGGACCCAACCGACAGCGTTTACTGGCCCTTGTTCGTCTTGATATTTCACGCCATCTCTCCCATTCCCTATTTCATTGCCAAAAGAGCAACCTATGACTCTGATGCGACGAGCAGTGCCTGTCGGGAACTGGCATATTTTTTCACCACTGGAATTGTTGTTTCTGCCTTTGGATTTCCTGTTATTCTTGCTCGTGTGGCTGTGGTAAGTTTTGTTCCTTGATTGCAGCGGTTCTCAACCTGTGGGTCGCGACCCCTTTGGGGGTCGAACGACCCTTTCACAGGGGTCGCCGGGTACTCGTATGTGGGCGTATCTGCATGTGGGTCTGGAGACGGGTAGAGGAGCGGTGTCTCGGTTCCTAAGACCATCGAAAATATGTGTTTTCCGATGGTCTTAGGCGACCCCTGTGAAAGGTTGAGAACCGCTGCTCTATTGTTTTGCCCAGTTCTTGCTGTGTTTCCTTCAGAGGCCTGTGTCTGGAACTACAGTTTCATTTTCATTTCTCAGACTTAGTACTCACATCAGAGGGGTTTTTTTTTAGTTTCTCTAGTCCACACTTTAGGGCTGACTGTCAATATCTTGGCCATGTTTTCAGAATGCTTTCTTTGTTTCTCTGACAATGTTTAGCCAGACCAAGTGATTTCTTGTTTTTTTCTACTTTAAGCTATGTTTTTGAATTACTCTCAAATCCTTGCCTATTATCCTAGGGCAATCCACAGAGACTACAATAGCAATACTTTTCTAGTTCCAAGATGAACATCTAAGTGGGTCCTGATCACCCAGTTTCAGTGTGCATATGTGTGTGTGTTGTGGATGGGGGAGCTTCCCCCACAACACCAGTGAGCACGATCTACCCAGAGACAGCATCAGATCCCACAAGTTAAGGTCTCGGTCCCACAAGACCGCCCTCCCTTTCAGATGCCCATCGAAAGTCCAGGTTGTTACCTCTGCTTCTGACGGACTAGCTGTGGATCAGAGCTTCCCATGACCCTCTCCTTGGTTTGACTGATTTGCTCACAGAACTCACGAAACTGGTTTATGCCCTAGATCACCAGTTTATTATAAAAGGGTATGACTTAGGAACAGGCAGATGAAAGAGATACCTGTAGGGTAAGGTATGGGGAAAGGGTGCGGAGCTTCCATGTCTGCTCCAAGCACACCACTCTCCCCAAATCACCAAATTGCCCACCCAGAGTTCTCCAGATCCCATCCTTTTGGGTTTTCATGGAGGCTTCATTACATAGGCATGATTGATCAAATCACTGGCCATTGGTGACTAATTCAGTTGCCAGCCCCTCTTCCTTCCCCAAAGGCCAGGGGGTTGGGACTGAAAGTTCCAACCCGTTAATCACATGGTTGGCTTCTCTGAAACCCATCCCTCATCCTTAGGTGCTTTCCAAAAGTCACCTCATTAATATAACAAATGTAACCTTTATCATTCTTATCACTTAGGAAATTCCAAGTGTTTTAGGAGCTCTGTGCCAAAAAGGAGAGGAAGACCACAAATATATATTTCACAATAGGCATGTGTTGAGGGGCAGCTACATAACTACTGGAAGATACAGTGAATAAGATGACATCTTCATATCCAATATAAAAATTTTCCTTTTGTCTCCAAAACACAAATTCTTGGGATAGTTTATTCCATTCTTTGATGGTCACTGTCTTCATACTGTTTACTTATATTCCTCCCAATTAACAGACTGTTTCAGTTTTGTGAAACTCTTATTTGGCACATGGAATGTCAGATATGCACAAGTTTCATTTATTCATGCAGTAGATACCTTTAGAACATCTGTTATTTGTAAGACACCGGGAATAAGAGCAGATACTGTCTCTGCTCCCAAAGAGTACAGAAAGTAGCCTGATGGAAAAGTATACAATAAATGTACTACGTGTGATAATTAAAACATGATCAGAATGCCATCGGAACACCAAGAGAAATTCCAACTGGCATTTGATGTGGTTTTTAAGAAATAGGATTTTGATTAAAGTAGGGAAGGCTATTAAACGGAATGGCACCCAAGTGCGAAAATGCAAAATGTGGAATAAAGAACCAGCAGTCCTATATGATGGAGCAAAAAGGAGTAGTTGAGGTTGAGGGTAGACAGGTTGGTGACGTCTTATTAGAAGGGTTTTTAATGCCCTGCCAGTTTCAACTCTATCTAGATAATGAAGAAGCGTTGACGATTTTTGAACGCAAGATCGTCATGACCTTATTCTTCCTATGCTTCAGACTTCAGTAGTACCTTGGTTTCATTCTGGAAACAAGCTACTCGTATTGCAAGACATTGCTTGTTTACCATGTTAAAATGTATTAGAAATGTTTGCTTGTCTTGCGGAACACTCGCAAACCAAGTTACTCGCAATCCAGGGTTTTACTGTACTTCTTAAGTTTTGCTCTAAAGATTTCTATTTTCACCCTTCGATACTGCATCACATTTTGTAAAGTAACTTTCTTTGATGTTTTCTGTTGGTTAAATTAAAAGAAAAAAATGCCCACTAGAGGGTGCTCTCATCCCCTGTGAAATCATCTGCCACACCCAGAAAGCTGTTTTCATTTGCATGCAGGTTATTTTTCAAAGTCTTTGGTTTTTGGGGGGTTTTTTTTGCCTAGTAAAGAAACAAACCAATCCATAACTCTCCAATTCCTATTTTCATGAAAGAAGGCAATGTGTCCTGAACTTTCAGTACCCAATGTTGTAATTGGATCCATTATAATCTGCTGCATGTATTTTACTGAAGGCAATCATTGTCTAGTGAAAACAAGTAGAGAAATATGTCTAATGGGGAAAATGTTAAAGATGACACTAGACTTAATTAACAAGCATCACGAAATAATTAGACTAATTACTGAATAGTTCACTGTCTCCCGCCTGTTACATTAAGCCTTTTAGCAGTTTTATGTAATATTTCATTGGATGTTTCTAATGCAGAAAGTAGCAGATTGGTAAAGAGCACAATATGAAGAAAGTAAAGATTTAATTCTCTTTTCTTGTGTTTCAGATCAAGTGGGGAGCCTGTGGCCTTGTGTTGGCAGGCAATGCAGTCATTTTCCTTACAATTCAAGGTTTTTTCCTTGTGTTTGGAAGAGGAGATGATTTTAGCTGGGAGCAGTGGTAGTACTTTATTCTGATAAAATGCATTTAATTTCTTACAATTCATACTATACGTATGTGTGTGCACATGTGGCCTTTTACTATGAAATTCAATATGCTGGGTTTTGTTTTTTTATATATACCTTTATATCATGTTCATGTTAAGGAGGACTACATGAGAAAGATTATACTCCCAGCAAATAGACCACTCCATTTACTCAATTTGAATTACGTTGTTTGGCTGTTTATATAGTCATGGTGCTCTCAGAAAATATGTTAACACAATCTTGTAGACAGCTGTTCACATATGCAATGCATCTACACCTTTTGGCTGGGGATGTGCTTGTGTAGGAGCAGCTCTTGGTTCAGCTCAGGACTTCCCAAGACACACTTGTGGCCCAGAGAGACAGAGGTGGCTCCCTCTTTGTGTGGCAGACCCCTGCTGTGGTCCATAGATAGCATCAGCATCTCTGAGGAGCTTATTACAAATGCAAGATCTGAGACCCCACCCCAGACCCAGTACATTGGGATGAGATTCCCAAGTGAATCCTATGAGGAGTCATAGAGGAGTAAGCATCACATAGAGCTTCCTTTTCTTCCTCTCGGCTGAACCACTTAACTTCTCTGGGTGTTTGCTTCTCATTTGTAAAAATTGTTTCCCCTGCCATCATGCTGAGGCCTAGTTCACACTCTCTTCGGTATTTGTGAAACGTCCAACCTGTAAGGTCCAGGCTTTTCCTCATATTTCTGAAGTGTTCACATTAGGTAACAGCTGTCCTTCTCACTGTCTGAAAGGCAGTGGCTGTCTTCACAGTGCTGGGGGAACAGAATAACTCCAGAGCCCCACTGGGGTGCAGGGGAGGGAGGCTAGACTGGAACCAGTTGCTGAGACCCCAGGAACTGCTCTAGCAGAATGGAGAAGAATAGAAGGTAATTCTGCTTCATTTCCCTTTATAATCTCACTGCTGTCCCTCTCCTTCCCTGTCCGTTCCCCCTGCCCCCAGTATCTCTCTCTCTCTCTCTCCTCCCCCCCTCCCCCCAGCAGCTCTGATTAGCCCTTACTCTTTCATGACTCGGGCGTCTCCTTTCTATAGACATGGAACCAAGCAGAGGGGGAGCTGCTTAATTTTACTTATATGTTGATATGCTTGTTGTCTTTCATGTTCTGTAGGACTTTATATATATAAAAAACACTTTATGCTACTTCTAAATGAATCATTAGGAAACATGTCATGGTGGACCCTGTAATCACAGTTTTTCTAGTTCAACTTTATATCCAAGACCTGTTGAAAAAGGGAGATATGGGAAATAGAACCACTCGATCAGAATATAAGCAGTGATTTTAAAGCATTGTTAATATGGGATAACTGACATACATTCAAAAGACTGAACACTTGAAGTGTGTGATCTGAGTTATTAGTACGCTCCTTCATGTTTTAGAATGACGCTGGGACCAGGAGAAGATAAAAGAGATACCTGAAAGACAATATGCAAAGTTGTAGTTTGACCTTGTGCATGATTTTATGTTTTCAATGTTATATGTACATATAGAATTGTTAAAGTTGTTACTTCCAATATTTATATTAGACAAATTATATAGACACTTTATGATTTTAACCAGCATTTTTAATAACACTTGCACTTATTGTATTGTAATAAATTTTACTTTTAACACAAAACCAGAGTTTAATTTTAAAAGTCCTTATTCTGATGTAGGCTTACTTAAAAGATAATGAAAAAAATGAGAATTTCTTGGTGTTCTGAAATGGGCAGTTTTGAGCAATAATCTGTCCTACAATAGAATAATAGTAATAAGTTTTAAGATCCCATTTTGAATGTCTAGTTGGTTTGTAATAACTCTTCTTTTCCTAGGATGAGAATAGTGTTTAATTTATACTATCTTTTGCAAAAAAAATGTCTTTGTTGCTTATACACATTTCAAATAACCAAGGTAGCCTTAATGTGTACCCTTAAATCATTGACTCTTGATTGTATTTTCAGAATAATGTAAAGTACTTGCATATAGGATATTTTTAGCTATTCCCTATTAATGGAATGATTTGTTGAAGTGGTAGATTTTTGGATTTGCTATGTGTCTGAAAACGGGCGACATTTGTTCTGAAGTGCTGACGTTTCACTTAAGTAATAAATGTCAGTAGGAAATACTGCTACATATGAATGTACAATACAGAAGTTTCATCTTGGTGACAAAAACGTTTGACATTTTTTTTTTCCTTATAAAATTTTCAGTTTTTTCTATATACCATAAAATATATTTTGGAGAGTCAAAGCATATTGATTACATTCTCAAACTGAGATTACACATAAAGAATTGCCTGCAAGGAAGTAATCTTATGAAGGTGTTTATCACATTCCAAACAACTGGCTTACAGGTAGACTTTGAAACACTTTGCCCACAGGAACAATATTATGTGTTGATGACTGAGTTCCCAGGCCAAACCTTGGTGGCAGGCTGAACCCTAATTAGCTGACCTATAGGACTCAAGATACCTGCCTGAGATTTGGGTCTTGGAAACGGGTTCGTGTGAACAGTAGAGGAAGAAAAGTGTACATTTCCACATCTTTTCCAAAGATCAAAGTCTTTCTTAGGTCAGTTTCAGCAGCGTGTTCCATCCCCTAACAACCTTGGGGTCCAGGTACACTCCTGTGAGGGTTGCTGGCCTCTCCTGACTCGGGGGACATCCTCCTAGCCTGCCCCACCTTCTGAGTGAGGTTCTTCATATTCCAAAATCACCCACCTTTCTACTCTTACCAATCAGTTTTCTTAGCATAGCTGATATCACGTAGTGATAAGAAGAAAGGAATCTGATCAGACCCCTTTCCAGAAAGAATAAATGCCTTGGGATCATCTTCCTCACATCTGAAATTCACCAATATCTGCGTTATGCAATCATCACACAGTGCTGCCGCCTTATTTTTACTAAGGCACGGCTCGAAACCCGATGACTTTCACAGAAAATGGCAATGTTCCCAAGAAAAGTGGAAAAAGCATTCCAGCAGTTTATAGAAAAGGATGACACTGTCTTAGAACCGGGCAACCCTGTCATATCCCTTCCTCAGGGTTAGTTTCCAGCTGGTCCTACTTTTCATAGTTGTTTCTTTTCTTATGAACCCGCAGATTTTTTTTATAGCCTCCTCAAGAAATCTTTACCTCTGAGGTGTCTTTTTGATGAAGACTGAGTGTAGCTTAAATGTTTCATTAATAACATTCCCTATGCTTTCAAGATGGCTAGAATAGAAAAGACAGACAATAACATGTTGACAAGGATATGGAAAAATGTGAGCCCTCATAAATTGCTGGTGGAATGTAAAATGGCAATTCCTCAAAATGTTAAACATTGAGTTACCATATGCCCACAAATTCCCTTCCTAGGCATAGACCAGAGAGAGATGAAAACATACATCACACAAAAGCTTGTAAATGAATGTTCATAGCAACATTATTCATAATAGCCAAAAAGTGGAAACAATCCAAATGTCCATCAATGATGAATGAAAGATGAAGTACTGATACATGTTACAACATGGATGAATCTTGAAAACATATTAAGGGAAAAAAAGCCAGTTACAAAAGCCCATATGTTATATAATACCATTTATCTGAAATGTCCAGAATAAACAAATCTATAGAAAGAGTGGATATATGTGGTTTCCAGGGAATGAGGGAAAAGGAAGTGAGGAATGCCAACTAGCAGGTACAGGGTTTCTTTTTGGGACGATGAAAATGTTCTGGAATTAGTGGAGATGATTGGACAACTCTTAAATATACTAAAAGGCATTGCATGGATTGGACTGTACACTTTGAAAGGGTAAATTGTGTAGTACATGAATTTCATCTCAATAAAAAAGGCAAAAGTGGAAACAACCAAAATGTCTCATCAACTGATAAGTGTGGTACAAACTTATCATGGGTGATGAAATTGTTATAAATTGATTGTGGTGATTTTTGCGCAACTCTTTGGCTATACTAAAAACCATTGAATTGTGTGCTTTAAATGTGAATTTTATGGTACGTTGATTGATACATCAATAAATCTGCAAAACACAATGAATGAGAGAATGAACTCTCTTGTCTGAATGACAAGAAAAGCATATCAGTTATTCCAGGCTTTGTGGGGCAATATCTTCAGGAATCCAGACCAAAATAATTCAGATTATGAGGGCATTTTAATTTACCTGCAGTGTCACTTTTCTAGATTTTGTAATATCTTATTATCTCAGATTTTTTTAATTTGAAAATTTAAAATTTATTTAAAGCACTTTTTGAGGGAAGACCCCAAAATTGTATAAGTGTCAAGCCCCACAAAATATGAGCTTGTCCCTGGCCATAGCAGTGATCAAAACAGACAAAATTACTTGCTATATAGAGTTTATATTTCAGGAGGAGGAGAAAAATAAAAACTAGATTAAAAAATAATATTGTATGTCAACTGTAATTGAAAAATAAAGTAAAACAAAATACATGATATGACAGATGGCATGGGGGGAAAGATAATAGGAAAGGGGGATAAATAGTATGTTAGACTTCACAACTTTAGATAGGGTGGCCATGTGAAGAAGCCATTTTGAGTTCAGATCCAAAGATGTGAGAAAGAGCTATGTGGAATTCTGAGGGACGCATCAGTCTTTGTGAACATCCTTAATTAGTTCTTTAACATGCTTTTCTAGAAGAGCAAAGGTGGGTTGAAGCGTATACACGTTTTTCATGATGCCAAATCATCTTCCTGCTCAACAGTTCTTGAGAATGCTTTTTCCCTCCAAAATATGTTTTAATATTTTAAAAGAATTGCTAATTCAGAAGAAAAACCCACCTCATTGTTATTTTAAATTGAACATATGTTTAAAAACTGATAATATTGAGTTTTTTTCATACTTTTTTTTCTCATAAATTGCCTACATTTTTAGGGCATTTATCTTTTTTATTGATTTGAAAGAGTTCTCTACATATTAAAATTCTAAGCATTGTTTCTTATATTTTGCAAATGTATATATTTTTATCAGCTAACAGACTAGTGAAAAGTAGTCCTGTGATTTTTAAACTTTGTTTATGTAATTTTTCTACCTACAGAATTTTCTGAGTGTTTTTTAGCCTAATATGTTAATTTCCCCCCCAAACCTGAAATTGTATGTGTTCTTAGAAAGGTCTTCTCTATTCCAAGAGAATAAAAATATATTCTCCTAGAGCATTTATAGGTTCACTAAAAATACTTTTATCTTTTTGTTTTCTTTTAGCCTCACAATTTTTTTATTAGTTTCAGGTGTACAAAGCAATGTAATAATTAGACATTTACACCCCTCACAAAGTGATAACCCCCCTCCCCCAATCAACTACCCCTCTGACATTGTATACAGCTGTTACAGTTCCACTGACTCTATTCCCTATGCTGTACTCCACATCCCATGACTATGTATATATATTAAATTACAGTTCACATTCAGTAAAAAATACATTTATCTTCAATTCAACTAGAATTTACTTTGGTAAATGATATCGGGCAAGAGTATTTCTCCTGTGATATCTTTAGCCAGGCATCTCAGCAAGTTAGTAAGCTGGTTAATCAATTTGTTTAATGTCAAATATCACCTTTAACATACAGTAAAAATTTATATCCACCTAGTTTATTTCTGGATTTTCTCATTTTTAAAATGTGTGTATTCTTAAACCAGTACCACATTTTTAAAAATGTGTTCCTTTATAATATGATTTTTAATTTGGTAGAATAAGTCTGCACTGATTTTTCTTCTTTTTTTTCATTACAAAATATTCCAACTAGCATTTTGTAGCTTGAGAAATAAAATAGTTTAAATGAAACAGTTCTTAATCCTGGGAGTGAAGTTATGTTCCAGTTGGGACTCTGGCCAGATCATGGTCACTGATAAAGAAGAGAGGGTTGGGGAGTAACTAAAGTGGCCCTTATAGATGGACGAGGCTGTAGCCACAGGTACCTGAGTTGTAGCAACTGTTAACTTTGAGGACTAATTCAGGCAATGTCAGGAAATTTTTTTTTGTTTACTTTTCTCTCTTTTTCTAAAGACATTTTTTCATTATCTGAAATTATCCTGACGTAGGTTGGGAACTGCTGACACCAGTCAACTCTTCAGGTCTTTTTTATTCTAAATTGGTGAGATTAGGAACCCCATTCTTTTTGAGGTAACCCAAGTGATTATTCAGGTGCTCCAAAGCTTTAGAGAACTGTTGAATCTCATGTTATTTGGGGGCAGTATTAGCAATTAGAAGTGTTTCATTTCAATTGAATCTCATGTTATTTGGGGGCAGTATTAGCAATTTGAAGTGTTTCATTTCACATGTTTTATCAGGTGAAATTGATTTTGGTTTGGACTTCTTAGAATGAGAAATATTTCAATCAGGTAAAATATAGCTAACACATAGTACGGACTCAATATGAAATGGCAATTTAGTTGATATGGAGTTTCTTAGAGAAGGGTTAGTGTAGTAAGATTAAATAGCTTTAGCTAAAAATAGTTTTGTTTAAAAAGATTAGATTGTGACCTATATTTTAGCCTCTGCTTTTTAGTCCTTGGCAATTTATGATTATGTGGTGTCTTATTAAATGTGTCTTTAATTAATTTTCAAGTTGGCCTCTTTCAACATCGCATATTTTTTTTTTTTTTTTTTTTTTTTAGCTGAGCCATCCTG